ATGTGCTTCCCAACCTCCAGCCCACCTGGACTGCGCTTCCCCACCCCCAGCCCACCCGGACTGAGCTTCCCCACCAGCCCACCCCCCCCACCCCCCCAAACGTGCTTCCCGACCTCCAGCCCACCCTGGATGCCATGAATGGAAAGGAGCGCTTTGTGTGTTGAGTCACTGAGATTTGGGGGTTGCCTGAATCAGCAGTCAGGTCAGCCTACTGTGAGCAACTGCCCTCCGCAGAGACACTGAGCCTACGAGTCAAGGGAAGTGAGTGTTCGGTATCACAGTGAGCTCCCCGGTGCAGGGCCGGGACCAGCACCCCCCGACTACGGCCTTGGATGGGGAACACGGCACCAAACCACACACCACAACCTGGGCAGCACCAATTCCCAAAAAACTTTATTGTTTCAAGTGGCAAAATGTTATTGGTCTCTGTGGGACACCTGGCAGGACGGGGACCCGGGGTGGGGCTGGGGCAGGGCTCTGCCCATTACAAAAATCAAAGGCTTTTATAAAAAATGCTATAAATTGGTATCAAAAGAAAACCCGAGGGAGGCTGGGGAGGAAGCAGAGAGGGAGGCGTGAAGAGAGCGAGGGGGGGAGGGATCAAAACCTTCAACCACTAACGCCTGAATCTGGTCAGGAGGGAAGGGGGAGAGATGGGAGGGGGAGTCGGGAAGGGGATACAAAGTGCATAAATGTGCCTCCCCAGACGCTCCTCAGAGGCGGAGGGGACAGAGGCTGCAGCCTGGGGCATGGTGGGGCTCCAGTCATCTCCTTGCCGGGGACCCCACAGGAATGGGCACTGCCTGAGACTGCCAGATGGGAAGGACCTGCAAGGGGCGAGGGGGGGGGGAGGAAAGAGATCAGAGCGGGAGGGGCGCAAATGGTGGGCAGAGGGGCCTCCTCAGCCTCGGCTTCCTATCCCTGCATCCATCCTGGCTGTCCCAGCTATGAGGAGGGTCCCAGCTGGGAACTCTGAGCCCCCGGGGTTCCCAGACCAGAAGGGTCAGCCACTGGGGGCAGGGGGTGGGGGAGAAGGGGACCATCCTTGGGCCCAGGGAGGAAGGCGGGATGGACGCCCACCTCCCCATCCATCCCAGGCCAGACAACACCCTGCTCTGTGGACAAAACCTAGGGGAAGCCAAGAGGCCCGCCAGGTCCTGGAGCTTGGCCCCACCGGCCCGCTGCCAGCCTCACAGAGAAAGTCCTAGAAGAAGGCACAGAGCCTCCTGAGACCTCCAGGGTGAGTCCTACTCACCCCCAAGTCCCAGACAGGCCCCGAGCCCAGGAACCTGCCCTCACCTTGAGAACTTCTCAGACCTTCTTCTTCTTCAGCTTCAGGGCTTGTAACCAGTTGGGCGATGATCCTTCTGACCTAGACGGTACAGGGCAAAGGTCAGGAGGCAACCCTCAGAAAAGGTGAGCAAAGTGAGGAGTGGCAGGGAGAGCAATCCTCCGGAAGAGGCAGGCTAAGGCCTCACCCGGAAGCCAGAACTTGAGGGCCTACTTAACAGAGTTAATTTCAGGCCTGCTGACCCCTCCTCGAGCCTCAGCTTTCCTCTTCCATAAAGCAGGATTTCCCTTTTCAGGCCAACCCAGCGAGGCCGGCAGAGGTCACCTACCCTGAGGATTTCTCTGGCTTGGGAGGTAATGTAAGGGGCTTCCCCAGCCCTGGGACCTTGCAGGACTTGGAACGCTGCACTGCAGACTCCTTCTGGCTGGGTTTGCTCTCCGCAGGCTCCCCCTCCTCAGCTGAGCGGTTCCGGGGGCGCAGCTTGGCCTGTGAGATGAGCCCAAATGCAGACACACATCAGAAGAGCAAGCGGCGGGGGTTCACAGAGGGCAAGGCCTCCTCCCAGGAAGGAGTATGCAGTCCCCAGAATCAGGCACAGACCCCTCTGCAGGACGTTTACCCAGACGGATGGGAAATCGTTTAAAGACAAGCTTCCAAGAGCAGAGCCATGCCATGCACAGAGTAGGTCCTCAAGAAGATACTGCTACACTCAGTTCAGACTGACTGGGCTGGACAAAGCCAGGGGTGACTTCCTACCCCTGTGCCTTTGCTCATTCTGTTCCTTCTGCCTGGAACACCTCCCCATCACCCCCCCCCCCCCCCCCCCCCCCCCCCCCCCCCCCCCCCCCCCCCCCCCCCCCACCCACAGCCATCTGCTATGTATGTCTCAAAGCTCACATCAAATACTTACATGAGGCCTTCCCCAGTACACTCTCTCCCATCCCGCACCGTGTGGCTGTGTGAAATAACTCCTGTGTCTCCGAACGGGCCCAGCCCCTTAGCTAGACCTCCCCAGTGACACCTGAACCTCTCCCTTCACTAGAGCTAATCAAAGCCAAGGCTTGTGTCTCCCACACCCTGTGAAGTTTTGAGACACAAATGCCTTGTTCTTCGTCTCATCACCCTCAGCTCACAACACAGGAGCCAGCAGAGAGAGCAGGATGGCAGGAGGAATGGGAAGAAGGGGACAGGGGAGGGAGGGAGGGATGGATGGATGGAGGGATGGAGGGATGGAGGGATGGAGGGATGGAGGGATGGATGGATGGAAGGAGGGATGGATGGAGGGATGGATGGATGGATGGATGGATGGATGGATGGACGGATGGACGGACAGATAGACAGACAGAAGACGGGCTGGACGCAAGGTGGCTAGCTGGCCGGATGTGCTAGCTGAATGATCAGATGGTACCTTCAGGGCTGACGGACTCAGGCCAGGAAAGAGGTTGACCTTGAGCCCCTTGGTGCCCAAGGACATCCGTGTCCGGCGGTTCTGAGGCTCCTCCACCACCTCCTCATCTGAAGATGGCACCCGAGATGCTCGTGGCTCTGCAAGGGCCCGGAGTGGGGACTCAGCATAGACCCACAACACCCCTCCCTCGCACGGCCCCCAGACAACAGCACAGGCGCCACCAAATGACACGCAGGCCCACCTGTGGAGTCCTGGAACAGGCGTGCGTCCGAGTCTGCTGCCTCTGACAGGCCCAGGGTGCCCCCGGGCCGAATGGCCGGGGCCCGGTGCCCACGCTTGCGGCCCAGGTTGGCACGGCTCCGGTACATGGCGCTGTCAAGGACCTCGGTGTCCTGCTCGGGACAAAAGCAACACCACTGGCACCGCTGTCCCATGGCCCCGCCCCATCCCACAAGACACCTCACCAGCAGCTGGCCCCTCCAGCAGCCTGGAGCCCCCCGTTCACAGGACTCACCTGCTGCCCCCTTCCTGCCTCCCAGGCTGACAGTGCTCGGGGCTCTGCACAGCGCAGGGCAGCCCCAGGGCCGAGGCTCTGGCTGAGTCACCCACATGCCCCCTAACAGCCCAAACTCTGCCCTGGGTTCAGCCGGCACTGACCTCAATGAAGGAGAAGTCTTGACTGGGGGATCGGGGGGGAGGGCCTTGGGGGGGTCGCCGAGGGGGGCGCGTCGGGCCCTGCTCGGCCTGCCCGACCCCCGAAGGGCTCCAGGTGCCGTCCACCGCTTCTGTATGGCTGGCTTCACCATCGGGCTGTGGCCTCCAGGAGGGCAGAGGGTCCCCGCCAGGCTCCAGGGGGCCCCCTTGGTCAGCACCTGCTGTGGCTCCTTCCTCCTCTGCCGGACCCCGGCGGCCTGAGGCTGCCGACTCCCGGCGGGCCACCAGCATCTCCTCCAGCAGGCCCTGGGAGCCAGAGGGCGGGGAGCGGGCCGGGCACCCACCAGGACTACAAAGGAGACAGATGGAGGACAAGGTCACCCATGAGGCCACACCTCCCCCCCCAAGCCCACTTCACAGTATCTGTGCCACCTACCCCAACCCCTCTTTCTTCCTCCTTTCCATGCTTTCCCAGCCCCCTTCGAGCAGGACATGGTCAGAGCCTCGTTCAGCACAGCACAGAGGGGACGAGCTGGGCAGCCTGGCAGGTTCAAATCCCACATCCGCCACTTACTGAGGATTTAGGTTTTTGTTTTTTTATTTTTTAAAGTTTTATTTTTTGAGAGTCGGAGAGAGAGCATGCACAGGGGAGGGGCAGAGAGAGAAGGAGATACAGAATCTGAAGCAGGCTCCAGGCTCTGAGTTGTCAGCACAGAGCCCGACGTGGGGCTCGAACCCACAAACACAACCCGCCCCACTGAGGCTTCAGATGAGTCCCTCCACCTACAAAAGTCTCGGGGGTCCTCTAACTGTACAGTCACTGGGGCGTGAAGTGGGAACAAAGCACAAAGCGCAGCGCCTGGCACCCAGCGCCCCCCCATGGAGAGCAGCTATCTTACTGCTGCCACGGCTACTGCTGATGCCGTCAACATGCCCTCCAAGAGGCGCCTGATGGGGCAGCCGCTCTCCTGGGTTGGAGCCAGGCACTGGCTGGTCTGGCCGTGCCACTCCTTCTTCCCTCAGCCCCCACTTCCTCCCTTCCTGTGCCCCGGGTCTCAGGGGACAGCCAGGGACTCCTAGAACACATCAGGCCTCCTAGGCCGCTGTGTGTGTGGACAAGCCATTCCCAGGCCCAGAAAGCTCTCCCACTGCCTCTCCGCTCAGTCTCCCTGCAGTTCGGTTCCTCTGCTAGAGCTGGCTCCCTCCCCTCCCCCAGCCTCAGCCCCTCCCCAGCCCTGTGAGCCCCCCGGGCTCCCTCCCACCAGTGACCTACGCAAGGGCAAGACGGGCACAACTGTGCCCCCGGCACCTGCGCCCGGGCCCGGCTGGGAGGAGCAGGACAAAGCAAATGTTTGCCTAGTCGTTTTAGCCAATACAGCTTGTGCATCTTCCGCCTGCTGCTCCTTCAAGACACAACAGCAACACACGGGCACAGCACACAAGCTCACTAACTCACTAGGAGCTGGTGAGGGGGCCAGCTGCCACCCCCCCGAAATACGGACACACCCCACGCACAACGCCCGTCCCTCAAGGCACATCTAGGACCCAGCCCCCAAACGCACAGCAAAGCCACACCCCAACACACACACACACACGTGACACACACACACAGGACACCACTCACGCAGGGCAGGGTGGGGGCGGGTGTGGGAAAGCTGGCAAGGGCAGTGCCTGGAGAGTTCCCGAGGGGAGGGGAGTGGGGCAGGTGAGTCAGTAGTGGCCGGAAGGAGGGAGGGCAGGAGAGAACGTGTGTCAGTCTGTCCTTCCACAAGCTGCTGACAGATGGAAATTAAAGCGGTCTGGGGAGGAAGGGGGGAGGAGGCGGAGGAGGCAGCAGAACGGAGCAGCCCTGGATAGGGGCCAAAGCCAGCTCACCCTGCAGCTTTAAATCAGGGAGGCTGGAAGGGAGGGGGCCTGTGAAGGCACCCCGCCCAGCACCCAGCACCCAGCACCCAGCCGGGGGAGGCCCCGCCCACAGCCTCTCCCGGGGGGAGGGGGGGGTGAGGCCGAGACAAGGCTGAGGGCAGGCCTTGTGTGGAGGGGATGTGAAACAGTGGATGTGAGGACAGGAACATCCACATCCAGAGCACGACCTGGCTCGAAGCCCTGTGGGCAGAGGGCAGGGATGAGCTCCACAGGCGCTGGGGGTGGTCACGAGGAGGGGAGGGTGGGAAGAGCCCCGGGGAAGGCGGTGTGCATCATCCCTGCTGGCCCGTGTGAACCCCCATCTCAGGAGAAGCTTTCCTGCCTCTGAGCACCCAGAACACCTACAACCTTCGCTCCTCCCTGGCAGCGAAGCAGGAGAGAAGGGTCAGGAGCCAGTGCCAAGCGCCGCCACTGGCACAGACAAGGGCTTGTCCCCTACTGCGCCTGTGGTCGCTTGTCCACTCTGAGCCTCAACTTCCTCATCTGCAAAATGGGGGTGTTAAGCGTAGCTACCCAGGGGCGCCTGGGTAGCTCAGTCTGTTGAGCGTCTGACTTTGGCTCAGGTCATGATCTCACACTCTGTCAGTTCGAGCCCCGCCTCGGGCTCTGGGCTGCCAGCTCAGAGCCTGGAGCCTGCTTCGGATTCTGTGTCTCCCTCTCTCTCTGCCCCTCCCCTGCTTGTGTTCTCTCTCTCTCTGTCTCTCAAAAATAAATAAACGTTAAAATTTCTTTTAAAAAGTAGCTACACGGGCGCCTGGGTGGCTCAGTCCATTAAGCAGCCGACTCTTGATCTTGGCCCAGGTCGTGATCTCTCAGTTCTCAAATTCGAGCCCCAAGTCAGGCTCTGCCCTGATGGTCCAGAGTCTATTAGGAATTCTCTCTCTCCCTCTCCCTGTGCCCCTACTCTCTTTTTCTTTCTCTCTCTCTCAAAATAAGTAAACTTTAAAAAATGTAGCTATCCTTCACTGGGTCTGCTGGCAATATGTTGGAAATGTGTACTCAATTTTGACAAAAATCATCATCCTCAACACAGGCTCCTGGCCTGAAGACTTAGCTCATTTTGCACCATCTACACCCCTCACCCCATCTGGACTCTGGTCTCCTGAGGGTCAGGACTCTATCCCACCCCACCCCCACCACTGCTCCAGGTACAAACCCAGGGGATACATGTGGGAGATGTGCACAAAACCGGCTTCCCAGGGGCGCCTGGGTGGCTCAGTCAGTAAAGCATCTGACTTCGGCTCAGGTCATGACCTCATGGTTCAAGGGGTCCAGCCCCGCATCGGGCTCTGTGCTGACAGCTCAGAGCCTAGAGCCTGCTTTGGATTCTGTGTCTGCCTCTCTCTTTGTCCCTCCCCCTCTGGCAGTCTGTCTCTTTGTCTCTCAAAAATAAATAAGACATTTAAAAATTTATTAAAAATAAATAAAAATTTTTATAAAAATTAGCTTCCCAGTACTCAAGGCTCTGAGACCCAAAATGAAGGAGGCTTAGGTCTGGAGCTAGAATGATGTGTCTAAATGGGCAGAGGCTGCCCCAGACCCGTGAGAGATAGGGGAAGTGCCCAGAGAGAGGACGGGGCTGGGGCCCGAGGGAACACGAGGGGGCCCAGAATCACCAGCTGTGAACCTCATGCATGTCATGCTGCCCCTAGACCTCAGTTTCCCCACCCATGAAATGAGGGGGCTGGCCTCAATGATCTCTGAGGATCCTCCCAGATTCTATGAAGATCCCAAAATGACTAAGAGGTCTCTGTACCACTGGGGGCCCGGGGAGAGACAGGAGATGACCAGGAGGCCACAGAGAGGAGGGACCAAAGAGAGCCACTCCCACCAGGAAAAGGTGGCCCTAGACACAGAGAAGGGGCCTGGGCTCTCCCCATGACCCCTCACCCCCATGCTGGTCTTGTCACAGCTGTGCTGGACAGCATTCCAGCCAACCACCACCTCCCATCAGGGGCACCATCCCCCCCACCCCCCGCCTGCACAGAGATGATGACAAAAATGTCCCCAAGGGCCTCACTTTATGGACAGCTCAAATTTGCAATCCAAATTTGCAAACCAGATACAATTACAAGTAGCAAGCATTTTTTTTTTCCCAGTGTTCACCCACGTGTCAGGCAGGTTCCTATCACTTTACATGCATCTGCAACTCTTAACCCTGAGAGCCCGTGGAGTAAAGTACTCCCAACGTACAGACAAGAAATGGGAGGCCCTGAGAAAGAGAAGGAATGTGCCCAAGGTCACAGGGGTGGTGGCAGAACCAGGACCCAAACCTGGCAGATGGAGGCAAACCCGGACTGCTCGGACGCATCCTGCAGGACATCCCAGGGGAGCATCCAAAATCGCCTTCCAAGAGCAATTTTCCAGGAGGGAGACTTTCCCTAAGTCAGGTGCCCGGATCACTGGCTCCCTGGATATTAGTCACATAAGCCTGGGAAACCTTGCACTAGAGAAGAGCGAACAGGTTCCCTTACGGCTGTTTTCATGTGCTACCACGTGCCCGTACGCAAACGCTCGAGGTCTCCGACATGGCCACGGGGTGTACAGCTTTCCCCAAACTTTAGACACAGACAGAAAACCCGAGCATCTTAAAGGTGTGATAGAGACTGAAGCTCAGCCAGCTGAGCGCTAAGTGCTCCTTCCTCCTCTGTTCCTACCTTCCTCTTCCCCAGCCCAGACAAGCCCGCTTTCCCCTTGTCAAGAGCCACCCGATTGGAGGGGAAAGGCGGAGGGCTGTGGTCCTGCTCCTTGGTAATCTGAGAGTCTTGAACGTGACCACACCGGGCAGCATTTACAATGCCAAAATCAGACGGAAACCCTGCTGTGTGACCAGAAACAGGTCCCACCAGTTGGAGATGAGAAAAATCCCTTTCCACATCTTAGGGCAGCTGTGAAGGTCAACGAAGGAAGATGTGCAGTTGAGCACCAAGCCCTGCAGAGTGGAGTCCGGGGAAGAGGAACTGGGAGCAACCACAGGGTGCTAGGAATGGTAAGGCTTCCTGAGGCTAACTTCGAAAGCAAGGCTCAGAGACATCCAGAGACGACTCCTGGATCCCAGGAGCCTCCTCGCTCCCCGTCCTGTGCACCTACCCCTTCTGTGCAGCCTTCATCACCTCCCCACGAGCTGCGCACCTTCCTTTCTCTCTCTCTCCCTTCTCTGTAGCCGCAGTGCCTCTCCCAACCCGTCCACACCCCACGATTCCCTCTGGACCCTTCCCAGCCCCTCCTGGCCCCCTGCCACTACCATCAGTCCCTTTCACTTACAACACAGCCCCCACCCGACTGCCCAGCGAGAAGTTCCAGCTTCTTCAAAAAAGTAGAACTTCCTACTCAGTCAAGAGAATAAATAAAACCGAATCTCAATAAACAGAAATGTTAAGGAAATAGATGTGATGGCTTTTTAGCACCCTTTCTAGGGGTGAAATCACCTCCGCTGGTTTCAAGAACATAAAGATCCCTAAGACAGACTGTGGCTGGCTTGTCAACAACGACCAGTCTGTTCTGGAAAGCTCCCTTTCAGTAACTCCATGCGTGGAGGCCAAGATCAGGGGGTCAGGAGCCAGGCACCTACGACCTTCAGGTTCTTAAACCGTCTGCTCTTCTGGCCCTTAAGACACGGCAGGTAAGAAGGCACCTAATCTCTGCAAGAAACAAGAGCCACCATCCACTCCAGTCCTGCCCTGCAATGGCCCAGGCTGCGGGGACACACACAATCCTCCTTACAGTACCTGCGGCTTTGGGCCAAGAGACCTGGGGTATAGATGCTGTGCACAACAATGGAACCAAAACACAGACTACACACCCTGTCTTCCAGGACAGTCGTGATATAAAGTCACCGAGGAAGCCTAAAGCATGGGCAGCAAATGACCACCACCTCAGACATCACAGTCACCATCCAAAAAACAAAAAGAAAAAAAAAAAAAGGACTCACCTGTATGTGTGCCACACTTCAATTTTTTAAAAAATTTAAAATTCACAGTCCAAACCATCCCCGTTTTCCAAACCCTAAAAGCCCTCAGGGAAAGCGGGATCTTCCCTCCTCCGAAAAGGTTGCTGGGTCTCACACAGCTGCCACACCTTCCCTCCCACACACACATGGGGCTCCCTTACCTGGTTCCAAAGTCAGAGGCTTCTCCCGTCTCCATCCCGGGTTCTTCAGGGCCGCTCTCCGGCAAAGGTGGGGAGTGGTCTTCAGCCTGGGTCCCTGGCCCACTGGGCCCACCAGGTCCCAGCTCTCTGGGTTCCAGGCCCAGGGATGAGACACCATTGTCCCTCAGCCCTAGCTCTGGGCACTGGCTGACCTCTCCTACCCCGTGCTCCCTGGCTTCACTCAGGGCCCCCGAGAACTCCGCATCCCGGAGTCCCAAGTCCTGGGTCCAGTCCATCCGGCCCACTCCACATCCCCGTGAGTCCCGAGAACCTCCAAACTCTAGGTCACATGGCCCCTCCAAATTCTTCAGGCCCAGACCACTGCCCCAGTCTACCTGGCCCGCCCCGAGCTCTCTGGGGCTGCAGCCTGCCCCCGGGGCCATGCTCCTCAGCCCAAGGTCTGGCATCCAGTCTGCCTGTCCCACCCCACGCTCCCTGGATTTAAGGAACTCTCCGGCCTCCACACCTGACCAGTCGGTCTGCCCCACGCCGCTCTCTCTGGCCTGGCTGCGGGCCCCCACATCCCCGACACCAGCCAGATCCCTGTTCCTCAAGCCCACATCGGAGGTCCAGTCCTTCTCCCCGACCCCAACGCCCCTGGGCTCCTCAGACCCCCCAGCCTCCAAACGGCTGGCCAGGTCCACGTCTCTCAGGCCCAGCTCCTCTGACCAGCCCATGTGTCCCACGGCTTCCTGCCTGGCCCCGCTCGGGCCCCCAGAAGCCACACAGCTGGATACCTCCAAGTTCCTGAGGCCCAGCTGGTCGGTCCAGTCCATAGGCCCAGTCGGGGTCTGCTCTCGAGGTACAAAGGGGCCACCTGCCATCTGGCCAGATGGGCTCAGGCCACCACCACCTGCCCGATCATCACCGATGATGCCAAACTGATGGCCCCTCTCGGCAGCCTCTGCGCAGAAGTCACATCGCCAATCTGGCTGCCCAGAGCTGAAGGCAGCCTCCGGCTGGGGCACGACTCCGAGGCTGAAGTCGCCCGCCCAGCCCCGTAGGCCCACCTCCCTGTCTTCGGGGCCAGCGTCCCCCGGGTTCTGGCCCCCTGGCTGCTGCCTCCCCTGCAGCCCTCCGGCGTCCTGGCCAGAAGGGCCACCGTGCCAGCTGCTCTGGTCTCTCGGTCCCAGTGGCCCGTCCTGGGGCTGGGGCGTGCTGGGGCCGAACAAGCCCCCCGATTCTCTCTCTTCAGGTGGGCTTGCAGCCCTGCTGGTCTGGCCCATACCATCTCCGCCACTTGGAAGCTTCTTCTCAAATTCCTCGTCCTGCTGTTGGGCTTCCTCAGGGCTGAAGCCGGCGCTCAGGGCTCTACCTCCAAAGCCTCTGTCCTGGGGCCCAGGGGCCGAGCAGCTACCGCTGCCACTATAGTCCCTCGTCCAGGCGCTCTTCCCAAAATCCTGATCTGGCGACTCCACGCCCCGGCTACCATAGGTGCTGAGTGAAGACTCTCTCTTCCCAAACTCCTGGTCCTGCCCGTCTGCCAGGTGGTCCTTCTCCCCAAATTTCTGGCTCTGCTCGTCTGCATCCCGGCTGGCATAAGCACCCAGCGAGTCTCTCTTCCCAAACTCCCAGTCCTGAAGGCAGCTTACGTCCCGACTGCTGTAAGTACCCAGCGAGTCTCTCTTCCCAAACTCCTGGTCTTGGAGTTCTGCATCCCGGCTGGAGTAGGTGCCCTGGGAATCCCTCTTCCTGAACTCCCAGTCCTGAACATCTGTCTCCTGGCTTTGCGGAGGGCCAGGCTGGGCTGGCTTTCCAATCCCCCAGTCCTGGGGCACTCCACTCCCGTCCTGGCCGGCAGCCCTGACCTCCTCCTGGCCGATGCCACACCCGCTGGCCCACTCCCGGGAGCTCCCTTCCCCAGCTGCTTGCCCGCGCTTGCTGGTCCAGTCCCCCTCACCAAGGCCTGCGTCCCCTCTAGGGCTTGCACCACCAAGGCCATAGTCCTGAGAAGCGTCCTGAGACCAGCTGCAAGAACGAAAACTGCTGGGACAGGGGTCCGCTCTAATCCCAAATTCACTCTGCAGATCTTTCTGGGCCCAGCCAAGGAGTCCCTAGGAATCAGGAAAAGAGAGAGACACAAAGAAACAATGCTTAGAGTCAATCAGGGTGGGAGCCCAGAATGAGAATCAGCACTACCTCCTCCGGTCCTGAGAGAGCCACTTTAGCAACAGCAACACTGGGTTTAGATCCCAGCTGTGCAACCTTGAGCCAATCACTTAACCATTCTGGGTCTCTGGGGCCCTCACCCTTACATGGGAAGAATTCCTACTGCCTGGGGTGGTTTGGGAGAATGAAGCAAGATCATTTTAAGCCAAAGCTCAGCACGGGCGGCTGGCATGCAAGGGGCACTCAGCATGGACACTCAGATCAATGACCCCAGGGTCATGTTTACAGGCCCTTGGGTAACACTTGGCTCAGTGCCAAGAGGAAGGCTGCCCAGCACAGGGGTCTTTACAGGGATGTGGAGGGAGTACAGTTTCCATGAAGGGTGGTCAAGACTCAAAGCCCCTAAGCCCCTCCACCACCTCCTTTCCAAGTGGAGAGCCCTGGCCCTACTCACCCCAGTAAGTTCCCAGCCCCTTCTTCCCTAAGGAAAGCACCCTTCTGCCTGGCCCCTCCCAGGAAGACCTCATAGCCCTTGCCTGGTCCCTGGAGGAGAAGGGAGGGACAGGCGGCGCTGGCACAGAAGAAAGAGCCAGCCCACGGCCCCTTGCACCGCCCCCCACCACCCGGTACTCCCTGACTCACTCCTTCAGGCAGGTCAGCCCTGGGCTCTGGGGGGTTGCGGAGCCGGCCAGCCTCATCCCGTAGCGCTGCGTTGGCTAACAGCCTCTCTAAGACAGACACGCTGGGTTCCTGGTCCCCGAGCCGGGCCATGGTCCCTGCCCCCCAAGCCCGCCCCAGGCTGCTGGGTGCGGCCGAGCTGAACGCAGGCACCGGGCTGGGCCGCTCCCCTCGCCCAGACCTGTCCAACGACTCTGGCTCCCGCTCGCCCTGGCCCCGCTCCCTCCACGGCAGCTGCAGCTCGGGCAGCCCCGCCCAGGAGCCAGTTGAGTCACCCAGCGCCCGGGACAGACACACCTACCTACCGGGAGCCAGCTCGCTCTTAACTCCTTCCTGCTCCTCCTCCTCCCCTCCTCCACCCCTACCTCCAGAGGCCCCCTGGCTCCTCCTTTCCTTCTAGCCTCACCCCTATTAGCTCAGGCTGGCCTCGAAAAATACATTCAAAAGCCACCTGGACCCCAGCCCTTAAATTCAGAGGCAGCCTGGTAGGAGAAAGGGCGCTGGCCAGGGGACTAGCGCTCTGATCAGGGCCCGGCCACCAACTTGCTGGGTAAGCTTGCACAAGGTTCTGCCTTCTCTGGGCCCCGGTCTTCCTATCTACAAGGCAAGTCTTGAGCTCAAGGGTAACAACGGTCATAAAGCCAACACCTAGTAAACACACTTGGCGAGCCAGGTGCTATTCTTAGTCCTTTACAGGTATTACAACTTACTGAATCTTTGCCATCACACTGGGAGAGAGAGTTCATCGTCGTTACCCCATTTTACAGACATGGAAACCGAGGCACAGAAAAGTAACTTGTTCAAGGTCACATCTGGGCCAACAGCAGAGAACCCAGGAGGTCTGGTTCCAGAGCCCAAGCTCTGCACTACGTTGCCTTCCAGAATACCATCCAAAGAGGCACTCTGAACGCTCAGTGTAGGGCAAGCATTGCACTGAGCACTTTCCACATCTCCTCTTGCCTGTACTACCGCCCTAGGAGGCACATATTCTTATGCCGAAAGGTTTCTGAAGTTCAGAGGTCAGCAAGATGACTCAGCTGGCGGCAGCTGGACTTGGATATGAACTGACCCTAAAGCTGAGGGCCCAATCCCATACTCTCCTCTGCGTCAGCTCTGCCAGAACGCCCAGCCTCGATGAGCACGCCCGCAGGTGCCCCGCTCACGGCCGCATTCCAAGCCCTGGACACCGAGCCCTGGCTTCCATCCCCCGAGGTCCCCAGCCTTCCCTGCCCCTGTCCTCACCTCAGAGCAGGCACTTGGGGTCTGTGTGTCCTTCAGCTCAGGGCCGCCTCCCCGCCTCGCACTGCCAGCACCAGGTGGTGGCGAGGCCAGGAGGTCGTCCAGCCAGCGGGAGCTGCTCTCAGGGCCTGCGGGCTCGGGGGATGCACGGTAGGGATCTTGAGCTTCTGTCCTGGGTTGGGTGGCCTCGGCCTGCACCAGGGTGACGGCCTCCTCCTCAGCAGGCAATGCCTGCCGGGGGTCTGGGGTGTCAGCGAAGAGGACACAGGGCTGGTCGGGGGGTGCTGGCTGCTGCTGACCCAGGACAGGCTCCAGAATGGGCAGAGCAGCCTCCCCGGTGGCCAGAGGGGGCAGGGACTCCTGTCCAGCCACAGGCGCCTGCTCCTCATATCTCTCCTCTGCCTGCAGCAAGGCCACTCCAGCTGGGCCCCCCGGTGTTGACAAGGGCTTGAGGGGAACAACTGGGGACTGGGGCTGGCTCTCCCCCTCCCCCTTCTGGGCTGGGGAGATGGCCGGATCATCCACCGGCACCCAGGAACCAGGAACCCCCGGCCCCTCTGGAGTGGGCTGGGCCCCTCGCCCCTGCGGGGACGCTCCTTTCTCTCTGCTGGACGCAGCCCAGTCACCAGCCTCAGCGGCCTCGGCGGCCTCGGTGGCTTCAGTGATGGGAGAGGGAGGCGGGGAGTCCAGCCGCCACACCCCCAGACCCGAAGGCCGTGTGGGAAAGGTCCACTCAAAGGACTGTGACAAGCTCCAGTTGGACTCCGTCCCACTCCCAAAGGGACGATCCAAGGCAGACTGGCTCCCCTGGGTTTGGGGCAGGGCAGCCAGCGAGCCCCCCAGTTTCTCCTGGTCTTGGCCAGGCGGCCGGAGCACCCCCTCAGAAAATCGGCGTTGAGCCAGGCTGACGGGACGGAGATCTACATCACCCTTGGCCACCACGTCCCCAGATGGAAACGTCCGAGGAAGATCTGAAAACTCACCCACCTCAGGCAGGGGCTGGGCAGAGGTAGCGGGGGGCTGCTCCAGGCTGGGGGGCCCTGACACCTTCTCAAGGGCCGGGCTGCTGGGCGCAGGGGCCTCTGGAGCTGCCACAGCAGGGAGCCCTACTACGCTCGGGGAGCAGCCAGAGCTCTGACTCTCATCAGGCAGGACTACAGTTGGGGCTGCTGGGGTCACAGTGGGGCAGGGAGAGGGCCCAGAAACTGCAGGACTCTGGGCTTCTGGAAGCTGAGAGTGGCGGGCAGAGCTCTCAGCAAGTGAGGGACATTGGGGAGACCCCTCAGTGGGTGATGGAAGTAGGGGAGTCCCCTTAGCGGGTGAGGAAAGTCGGGGAGATCCCTTAGCAGGTGAGGGAAGGCGGGGAGACCCCTCAGCGGGTGAGGGAAGGCGGGGAGACCCCTCAGCGGGTGAGGGAAGGCGGGGAGACCCCTCAGCGGGTGAGGGAAGGCGGGGAGACCCCTCAGCAGGTGAAGGACATTGAGGAGACCCAGGGGCTGGGCCTGAGACTTCAGTTGGGGGGCTTGAGCTGGTGAAGCCTCCATTCTCCGAGGTGGAGCCTGGACTCATGGGGCCCCAGGGCTTGGAGACCTGCGAGAGAAAGGTCAAGAGCCATTACTCCCTTCCCACATAGACCCCAGGTCAGCCGTCCTCACACTCAACTCCACAGACCAGAGGAGGAGACAGGAACTCAGAATAAAGGCCTCTCGGGGCAGCTAAGAGAAGCCCCGAGAATTACTTGGGGGCATCTTACACTTCTTAGGGTTCACAGACCCCACGCCAGGCCCTGTCCCCAGGAAATGCACCTAGCCTCACTCATGCCACCTCAAGTGGTTCAGATCCTCCCTCCCACACACCTGCCCAGAGCTCCCTCAAGGCTGTAAGAGTCAATGGTGCAGGTATCAAGAGCCCAGCTTGACAAACGGAGAAGGAAAATGAGGAATCTGTCCCCTGGGCGGGCGGGGTGCTGCCTCAGAGCAGGTCGCTAAGCCCAGTGTGGAGCCAGGCCACCCACGGGAGTGGCCGGGGGAGGCGTGGCGCTCCCCACCCCAGTCTGTGCATCCACACGTCCCAGCACTGTCCTGGCATTACCCGAGGAAGCAGGCAGGTGCTGCCTCCTGATCCAGGCAAAAGGCACCCAGGGACACGGCTTGGAGTCATCGGCACTGCCTCCTATAAACTGTATGCCCCCCACATGGTGGTCACTTGGTATCTCCGAGCCTCTGCTTTCCCATCTGTACATGGGGCTAAGGGCAACAACATCCATCTCAAAGTTAGGGGAGGATTAAATCAGATCTGTGCAGAGACAGGACCTCTCGGGAGAGGACTTACAAAAAAAAATAGATACTGTGGGATAGGGGTCCGGGGGAGGAGGAAGGGGCAGAGGGGGTACCACGTGCCTGGCATCCTGGCATTCCACTGCAACACTTGGCCTGTCCCCAGACAATGAAGGAAGCCGTGGTCCTTTTGACCTTTGCCCTCCCCACGGGTCACACTTCCCCTGCCACGCTCCCCAACGGGGCAGTTTCTCCTGCATCATTGCCCACTTGGTCTGGAAGAAAGAAGGTCCTGCTTGCTTCTCAAGGCCCCTTCCTTTGCCTCCATCCTCCCTACAAAACTGCAGCGTTCAACCGCACGCCCTAAACTACACCACCCGCAACCCTTCCTGTCCAAGCTCCTACAGAGGCCCCCGCATCCTGGTTCTCCATTCCTGGACCTCTTCCTGCACGATCACTTTGTGAGCTACCCCTCCCGGGTCATACTCTGTGACATACTCCAGCTGGACTCCATCCTGCTCCTCGTCCTCACCGGTAACTGCAACCCTCTAGAATTACTCCAAGTGCCCGCTCCCCACCTACCTCCTATGCATCCTGCTACCTCTTTCCACTCGCTGATCCTTCAACGCCTCCGCCCCTGGGAAGCAGCGTCCACTAACCCCGCCTCCTTCTCCCGGTCCCTGTTCCCCTCCTGCCCTCACTTCTTGGTGGCATTCAAGTTGCTTCTTCCCACAATTCCCCCACCAACCTCCACACAAAGCTTGCACCCAGCTCTCCACCTCCCCGCAGCCGTGTCTCAGGCTGGACGTGGCTGCAGGACAGGAAACCACCTGAGCAGCTCTCAAACCTCCAGGACCTCAAGCGGGCCTCGAGCACCCGGCTGTCCCCCAACACTCCCCCTCACGTGCCTACATTCCCAGGCGATGCTTCTGCGTCTGCTGTTCTCAAACCCCAACACCACCTGCCGCCCCCCCCCAACCCCCATCAGCCACCAGCCTGCCCACCCCACCGCCTGCGTGTGAGTCCAAGTACCGTGCTCCCCTCCTATGCTTGTGAGCAGTCCTCACTCAGAGCTCGCTCTCTCCTGCACCATTGATTTTTCCTTCTCTACGGGCTCATTTCCATCAAATGCACAAACTGCTCTTGTGTCATCTGTCTTTAAAAAAAAAAACAACAAAACACACCTCTTGACCTCACGTCTCTCTAAAGCTTACCACCCAGTTTCTTGAATGCATTGCCTACGCTCACTATCCGTCCATGGAGTTCTTCTTGTCCCGTTCTCTCCTGAAGCCCCTCCAGACAGGCTTCTCCCCTCACCCAGCCAGCTAATGCTACTGTCGAGCTCACCAATGACCTCCCTGTAGCTGAAACCCATTCCCAGGGCTCACGCGCCTTGACCTGGCAGCAGCATCTGACAGTGGGTCATGCCCTCCTCCAGCCCCAAAGCTGGCTGCTAGCTCTGGGTGGCCTCTGGCCCTCCAGCCTCGCCAATCTCCTCCCGATCTCCCCTGCTACACATGGGGCCTGGGCCCCCTGCCCTCCTGTACCTCTCGGCTCCTCTGGTGACCTTAACCCCCCTGGTGACCTGCCCATCTTAACGGCCACATTGTACACTGACAACTATCCAGCTGCTCCCTCAATATTTCCACTGGGGGGGTCTACGAGGCATCTCACACTCAACAAATCTAGAAGCAAACTCACACCCCCTGATCCTGCTTCGCCCTTCCACGTGCCCATCTCAGTGACGGTAACCTCACCCTTCTACTGCACGGGCCAAAAGCCCAGCTGTCCTCTGTGATTCTGCACTGGCTTGCTCTCCTATCCATCTACCTGCACACCCTGCCTACCTCACCTTTACACCCCTTCCAGAGCCGACCTCCAGGGTCCAGCCACCATTGTCTCCCACCCGGATGATGCCCCAGCTGGCCCCTGCTGCCCTTCTTGGCTCCCTGTAACCAAGCCGACTCCTCACAACCAAGCCAGCGCCAGGTCACTGCTCTCCTCCAAACCCCTCAATGGCTTCCTCCCCTCACTCAAGGCCAAGTCCTTCCAGTGCCCTGTGAGGTTCCACACAATCCAACCCGACACCATGGGACCGCACTAGCCTGCAACCCCCTCTCTCTCACTGTGATCCAGGCTTCCTGGCCAGGAAGATACTAAGTCTCTTGCGCTTACTTCCCTCTGCCCAGAATGTAGTTCCCCCAAACACCCCTGCAACTCACTCCCTCACCTTCGCAGCAAGGCCTCTGCCCTCACCTTCAGCCCAGAGCGCCCTTCCTCGACAGGACTCCCGTGCTTGTCCCTCAGCCCGCAGTCTGCGCCTGTGTGGGTGCCGCTCCCTGCACTCAGTGAGCTCCCTGAGCGCAGGACGCTGTGCCCTTTGCCATCTGTGGTGTCCCCAGCACCCGACTCACAGTAAGGGCTCAGTAAGTATTTGTTGGATGGACGGGGGAATGTGGTCAGGTCTTCATCGGGGGGAGACGGGAGAGCCTTTGGCTAGAAGGACTCTATGAGCAAGAAGGGGCATCAGGAAAGCGGGCTGACCATCCCCCTGAGCACACAGTGGGGAGTCGGGCTGACCATCCCCCTGAGCACACAGTGGGGAGTCGTGGGGAGGAAATAGGATACACCCTCTTCTGACCCCCTTGTCCTCCAGGCTGCCTCCCAGCCCTCCCCTCCCCTCAGGGGTGTGGCTGTGCTCTTCCTGGCCCCTCCTGAGACCATCCCCTGTCCAGAGGGTCCCGCTGTCCTCAACTGAACCCCGAGAAGGCAGCCCAACCAGGGAGAACCCTGGAACCGGGCACCTCAGCTACTGCTCCAGCCCCTGGGTGCCAAACCTCTGTGAGCCCTGGCATCCTCACACCTCGCACGGGTCCAGGAGGGCCCAGGAGCCAGAGTCCTCATGAGGACTAAGTCAGTCACCGTTCCTGGGACATGCCCAACACACCGCAGTTACCTGATCAGGGGTGCCTGTTATAAATATTACAATTACTGCTTGTAACGAGTAGTTTCGCAGCCTGAACCGCCCTTAACCACCTCGGGGACTGAAAACAATGGCCTGAGAGTCCAGAAATGAGAGTCTTGGGGTCAGACCTGGGGCAAGCCACCCCCTCCTCAGGCCTCAGTTGCCCCATTCAAACTACAAGGAGATGGTGACACAAACAATCTCAGATAACCCCTCCAGCTCTAAAACACTAGGGTGCTGATTCGTAACAGGACACTAACTCACATCGGCAGGAGGGTCCGAGCTGGCTGGCTGAGCCAGGTCCCCGTTGAAGGCCAGGTCCGAGGGGGCGTTCCTGTGAGGGAGCAAGACAGGAAGTAGAGGCACAGAATGGAGCGGGGAAAGCGGATGGAGTCTGCCTAAGTGACTTCAGCAGCCCCCAAAGTCAACCCCCCCACAGGCGTCTACTACCGAGCCCCACCTAGAATCACTTGGGACAGAGAACAGTGCAGTTTCCGTAGAGAAAGAGCCCCATGAGACAGTGCCCGTTCCCTACCGGCACATCGAGGGTTAAATGCCCGCCACTCCCGGAGGAGAGGCGGGCATTTAACCCTCGATGTGCCGGTAGGGAACGGGCACTGTCTCATGCCCAGGCCCCTCAGTGGTTTCCCAAAAGCTAACTCCCCCTCCCCCTCCCCCATAAGGGGTTAATGTTCTCCTCCGGCCAGGGAGGCTGCAGCTGGTCCCGGCTGCCCTGCCAATACTTCTTGAAGGATTGCAGGGGGAGCATGAGGGGGAAGAGTGATTTTCCAAAGCTGAAGTTGTTCCTCCTAAGTTCTGCATAGAGCAAGGAAGGGGAGGAAGCCTGAGAGCAGACGGGCCCGGGCAGGGTGTGACGTCCTAGAGGCCTGGGACAAAGAAGGTTGGACTAGGGCCCTTGCCCTCCAGGTACGTTGAGGTGAGAGCAGGGTAAGGCTCTCGGGCAGAGTAGGGCAGGGGCCTTCAGCTTGGGGCTCAGCCCACTCTGCAGGAGCCCCGCCCTTCACAGCAGCAGGAGGGGGCAGGAAGCCTGTGCCCACCACTCCCAGGGGCATCTCCTGGCCAGCCTTCCTTGACACTGGCACTAACCCCAGAGAAGTATTGCATGGGCCACAGTCTCCAACTTGGCCGTGACCTCTGCACACACATTGGCCAGACTGGCATCAAGGCTCGGCCTTAGCTGTTCTACCAGACTCCTCCTCATGGGCCGTATGCACCCTGCCATCCTGTCCGTATTGCCCCCCCGACCCCCCCCCCAACCACACACACACCCCAGCACCTGCATGCTGCCCACCCGCGACAGGAGCTAGCACTAGAGAACACGCTTTGGAGTCAAAGAGACCTGAATTCAAATTCTAGCTCTGTCTCTTACTTGCTGAGGAACCACGGGAAGTCATTTAGGACCTCAGTTTCTGCATCTCTGCAACGGATCTAATATTCTCTTCCCTAAACTGCATCGCTGTCAATTACATGCAGCAAACTCAACTCTCGGGCTAAAAAGACCTAAAAATAAACTTTCACACAGCACATCTGAATTTTAGCATCGATACACGTCAGCTCTGTAAAAGAACATAGTAGCGCTGACTCCATCTACCAGAGAGCTCTGTGACTTAGACCAAGGTCTGCCTTCACTCATAGCACACTAACCCCAATCGAACCTAACCATGACAGTCACAGTCCCAATACGGCCACCCCCTTGTCCTCAACCCCAGATAAGGCCACCCCTTTGTCCTCCGGGCTGCCTCAGGCCCCTCACCTCTCCTCAGGGGTCTTGCTACGCATTTCCTGGCGGTTGCTGGGAGGCTTGGCTGGCCCCTCCTGGGACCATCCCCTGGACAGGGTCCCACTGTCCTCATCCCTGGGCCCGGTGGCCACGCCATATGTCCTGGGGCCGTATCTTGAGCTGCCGTCGTGGTTAAAGGTGAGGCGGGAGCCCCAGAGGCGATCGGGACTGGCGGGGACTTCCTTCCGAGGCTGCTCCATCTTGGCCAGGATCTCCTCCACCGTGGCGGCTGCGAAGCGCTCGGAGGCTGGACGGAAGGGGGCAGGGGCCTTCCGCACGCCTCCAGGGGCAGCACATCGAGCTGGGGGTGTCAAAGGGGGCATCTCTTCTTTCCCGGCCTCCTCTTTCCCAGTCTCTCGAGTGGCTTCTCCTCCAGTGGAGGCCTCAGGAGTAGGCCTGGGTGCAAAGGGAAGGGGACGCTTGCTGCCGCCGTAAGGCTGGGGTCCTGCAAGCATGTTCATCTTCCGGGCAGAAGGCAACTCAGCCAGGGGACCCCGGGGGGGCCGGGGCCCAACAGGCACCAGCAGGCTGGGCTTGGCAGGCAGGGCTGGCTTGGCAGGCAGGGCCCGAGGTTTGGGCTTGACGGGGGGTTTGGCCCGAGGGTCACCTACTGAAAGGAAAGGGTTGGTTGGGGTGGGGGGGGGGGTCTGTCAGAAGAACCAGGAAGTGGAACTTCATCTCCCACCCTACACAAATTCAGAAAGTTCACATCATTCTAGGTACAAGACAAATGTCGCCTCTTCCATGAAGGCTTCCTTGATTTTCCATACACATCTCAGAAGCATCTTCTCCCATCTCCAAATTTCAAAAACATTATTCAATCCCCGTTACGAGCTAAAGCTACTTAGGGGCAGGCTGGTGTGTAATTTCTTCTTGTATCTCACTTTGCACCCTAGCACGTGTTATCAAACGAACAAAGTAATGAATGAACAAAAGAGCCAGTAAATGGATGCCTGCCTGCCCACATCAAGCATGGTCAAGCCACCATGTCTGCAGTCCAGTCCTTTCCTCTCACATGACACTGTACTGCTCCACCACCCATAGTAAACGTAGATCAGCTTCCCCACTGTGGCTCCCTACTCCCCCGGAAAGGGTGCATTGCCCAGGCCACCTTCCCACTGTCATCCGGTGTGTGATCAGGAATGCAAACTTACTATTGACCTAAGCCAAACAGAAGTAAATCTGCTACAGGAAAAAAACAAGACCAGAAACCTACCTTCTACATAAGGCATTCCACTGCCAAATAAAAGACTGGGAATTACTCATGGCCACGGCCCTTCTAATAGAATCCTGTATCACCCACTCATTGGGCTCAGCCCAAGAAAGGAGTGTAGACACAGAGCCAGGAGGCCCGGGTTCAAACCCCCCTAGGTGCACGCCATTTCTCCTCTAGGCCTCAGTTTCCTCCTCTGCAGAAGGCATGGTTTAATCCGCATCACCCCTCGGAGGTCAGTGTGCTCTTATCTGCCAGGGACCTGGGTCCTCAGACAGTTCTGAACGGGCGCACAGGAACAGACAACCTTCCAAACTCATCCAGCACATCCTCAGCGTGCCTCCCACTCTCACTCCCCCACCCCTGCCCAGACAGAGCAGGGGTTCAGCTGCTGCGCCCCCACCCCCCTCCAGGCCACCTCGCTCCACCCAGGCACCCATAGGTACCTGGCTCTGAGCCAGCAGACACCAGCTCCTCCTCCATCTCCCGGGGTGGTGGGGAAGCCATGGCTGTGCCTTCCCTGAGAGCTGACACTTTCATCACATGCGGCAGAACCTGCAGGAGAATTGGGGAGCAGAGGAGAGTGAGTGGGGGGGGGGCGGCCGGAGACCCAGGAAAAGAAACTGAGAAGGCAAAGGGGCTGGGCGCTGGCAGCAGGCTTGGCAGAGGGAAGTCTCCTACTTCTAGAAGAGGCAGAGTGTGGGACCGGAAGCGGGAACTTCAGAGGGGGGTGGGGGGGGTGGTCAAGGGAGGTCCCCAGCAGCTGTATCCTCCACTCTTCCCAGACCACTCTCTAAACTCCAGGCTCCTAACCTTAAAGTCCTGGAGCTTCGGGGAACCGCCCACTGCTCCCTCTGGCAAGCTCTCCAAGACACCCCACTTACGGTTCCCAAGGCACCCCTTGGGTCCGGCACCCTGCCTGAGGTATCTACTCAGGGGCAGAGCGAGAGGGCCGCGGAAGTCTGAGGTCTCTCCGTGAATCACCTCATGGGAGACGGGAAAAACCCGCTCCTCCCCAACCTGGGGCTCCGCCCCAGCGCCTGCCTCCCCCTTCCCGCTCACCCTCCTCCCCCCCTGCAGCTGGGAGTGGTTCCCTCTCCCCCCTCTTTCCCCTCCTTCTTCCACATCCCTGCCCCACGCCCGCCCGCCTCCCTCCGAGCTGTCTCATCCAAACACGGAAAAATAAGGAATAAAAAGTAAACATCTGGAATACATTTTTTTTTCTTTAATTTCTCAATCGCTTTGGCTTCAGCTTGGAATTTGATGAGGTAAAGCCAGGGCCTAGTCCTGTTGCCATAGCAATGGCCTCCCACTGGATTTCCAGAGCCTCGCCAAGAGGAAGGAGGAGCCGGCCCTGGCCTGGGCTGGGAGAATGGGACAGGACTTGAGCACATCCGGGGGGTGGGGTGGCTTGGGGGAAAAACTCCCTAGGGTTCCCCCTCTGGGCAGTCAGGGTGGGATAACCACAGCAGATGAAAAGGAGAGATTGAGCATCCCTCCCCAGCCCAGGGTTGGCCTGAGGGGGACAGAGGGGGACAGAAGAATTTTTAAACCAAGTGACAGGGCTCTATGGCAGAGACCAAATGATGCCCCTCCTCTAAGCCTGTAGCGGGAGCTTTGGGGTCTGATAAAACCAGGAGCGGGGTGGTTCTACCACTCTCCAGCCGTGTGACCTTAGGTACACTGCTCACTTCCTTAAGCCTGTTTCCCTTTGTAAAAACCAGACTTATTGGGACAGGTGGGAAGCCTGTGAGATGGTACATGCAAACTTAGCACAATGCCTAACCGGCAAAAAGTATCCAATAAAAGCTGGCCACTATTATTAGTACGAGTCCATTGGCTATTACCAATGAGCTAAGATCCTTGGTAACTACCTCCTCCTCTCCCCAGGCCACAAGCTGCCAGCATTCCAGACCATTCCTTCACTCCCAAGGGCCCCAGTCTTGCCACCTGCTCCTCAGAAACTCCACCACCTCCTCAGTTCCCGTTCTGATTCCTGGAGCACCATCCCACCCACAAGACACCCCCCGCCCAGGCTCCAAAGCCTTGCCCCTCTCCTTCCAAAGGAAGGAGAAGGTTTCCTATCACCTGGTGTGCACCCAGCCCTGAAGACGACCCAAGGCTCTCCCACCTGCAAGGGGCATCGCCTTCCTCAGCACCCACTCCAGCTGGCCTGGGAAGGCAGCGCCAGATCCTAAGGGATTTCTGGGGCCCAGCCTTTGCACAACTCACCCACCCCTCACATTCGCCCCTGCCCCAGCTTGTTTCTAAGATAGGAGAGAACACGAAAAGCCTAAGGGAAACCCAGGACCGACCATCCTTGGTCAGCCAACTACAAGGGAGAGCTGCACACGGTTGGGGGGAGGGGCGGGGGGGTGGATGAGAACAGTGCGGAGCCAGCCCCAGTGTGCATGGGGGAGGGGCACACAGCAAGGGAAAAAATTTTGAAAAACACAAGATTGTTTCCTTGTCCTTGAACACTATTACAAGGGACATGGTGTCGGTGGTTAGAAATCGGGGCAAACTGGCCAAGAAACGTAAAAACCTTTTACCTGGGGGCCTGATGGGCACCCCTACAGCATGCAGGGCTGCACCAATGAAGTGGGGCCCTGGGCTTCCCCAAATGCGAGGGCCACAAAAACTCAAGAGGCCCCAGCCAGGAAACCCAGGTGACCAAGGCCAGAGCCAAAAGCTGAAGAATCACAGAGGCACTGAACACTCCCGACCCCAGCAGTCGCGGGGAGACTAGCTGACCCCCGGGAGTAAAGGCCGCCAGAGGGGCGAGAGAGGCTAGGCAGCTCCAGCCGGGTGACAGGGGCCCAGACAGCCATCGGCGCAAGCGGGGTCGCCCCTAAAGTCCCTGGGATCTCCGGCCGGAATGGGGCCTGAGAGGTCGACAGGGACAGCACGTAACCTGCTGTAGGAGGGAGGGCCAACGGGAAGACGGAACAGCCCGGGGCGAGGGGCCGTCTGGAGGGGCCCAGTGGGGAGCTCTGGACACAGAGGGGACGCCGGCAGCCGAAGAGGAGAAGAGGGTGGAGGAGGAGGGGGCGGCGGCAGACGCGGAGGACCTGTGCGCTGGATACGAAGCAGCCGGCAAACAGACGAGGGACTGGGTACGCGGACCGGGTGGGCGGAATGGGGTGGCTGGGGGCGTGCCGGGGGAGGGGGCGAGCGCAGGCCCGGGGAAGGGGAGGCGGGGGTCCTTCCAGCAACTCCGCCCGCCTCCGGCCCCGCCTCAAGCCCGCGCCCCCTCCCCCCTTTCTTCTAGCTCGGGCAGCACGAGCTCCAGACCGTGCACCCTCCGCCCCCGCGCACACGCGCCAGCTCCCCCGCGACCCCCGCTTCCCCTGCGCCCCCGGCCCCTGCAAACTTTCCGGATGACCCCCCCTCCACCTCAACCCCGAGGTCCCGGCAGGAAAGCGCCCACTGCTTCCATGCCTCTCCCCCGCCCCCATCCAGGACCCCGCCCCCTCCTTCGCCCTCCTGCCCGCCCCCGCGCACTCACGCGCTCCCCCGGGATCCGGCTCCGCTCGGCTCGGGCTCGGCGCCCCGACGCCAGTCCCCGCCGCCGCCGCCGCCGCCGCTGCCGCCGTCACCGCAGGACCAAGCCAGAGCGAGCCCCGCCGGGGCCCCGCCCCTAGCTCCGCCCAGGCCCACGCCCCCAGAGCGCCTCATGAATATCCATGAGCCGGTGGAAACCGGGAGCGGGAAGCCGGGGCAGAAAGCCCCGGGTCTTATGCAAATAGGCGCAGCCCCGGTACTCAATTATTTATGAGTCTTGCAAATAAGGGGCCTGCCCCGGGCTCAGACCCCAGCAAAACTGACGCAACTAGGCGTCTAGGAACACTCAGGCAAAATGGCCACCGAGACGACTGTCTAGAGAGGCTGCCTGGGGACGGACTACTGGGGCCCGGCGGCCCGCACTGATTGCAGCACCATAGAGTCACGGCGAGACAGAAGGGAACCGTTGGCGGACTGGAGAGGCTTCCTGTGGCAAACACCTGAGGACGTACGCAACGTGGCCACTCCACGTGTGTCAGTTCCGAGGTAGAGCCGCGGCGAGAACGACTGGAAGCTTTTTTCCTAGCGGGTCCTCATTTATCTTCCAATTTGCCACCTTTGCAGATGGAAGTTCCTCTCGACCTCAAAGTCTGGTATACCGCTTGCCTCCCATAAGGACAAAAGCTTCACACACACTGCACAGCTTTCCTACACCCCTACCCCTCCCCCCCCCGCCACACACACACGCACGCACCCCACTCCTCATCCACAGCTCTCCAGGCTCAGGTTTCCACCCCCCCGCAAGGAAGCCAGTCACTCCTGATTCCATTATCTAAAGCTGTGGAAGAAGGTTGACTCCTAGGTGATTGGGGACTGAGCCAGAAGCTGCCTCCCCTCGGCTCGGCTAATGGAGTGGAACTGTGAGAGTGACTTCCTAATCAGATCAGCTCTCATCTTCTAGACTCTCAGGTGGCCCATCCCGGCAGAAGAGAGTGAAAACTAATGCTTGTCCAACCGGGAACAGGACAGGATGTACCTGGAGACGGCTTCCCGGCCGGCGGGCAGGGCCCTGCCTGGTCACAACAGTATGGTCACCACCACCAAAAACAAGGGGATGATACAAGACGGTGAGAGAGAAGGGATAAGGACATGGTTTCCAAAGTCAGTTCCCTTTATTAAATGTTGATTTTTCACAGACCAGAAATACAAAATCAAAGTAGAAATAGACCCCAGTTAGGAGCTACGGGCCTGATCGCACATGACCCCTGCTGCGGCAGCCTGTAACAGGAGAAGCAGCAGCTACATCCCTAAGGTGGGGAGAGCAGGCCAAGTGTTTCACCCTGCACTGCCCTGCCCCCCACCCAATCTCTCCCCAGATTATGAAGAGCCATCCTCCGGCAGCAGTAGAGGGAAAACGCCTCCCTTGCTGCCCCAGATGAAGTGCATTTTCCACCAGGAGAGCTTGTCCAGGTGGCACAAAATCCAAGGACTACATTTCATATGAGAAACTGGTACCAAAACACGGGTGGGGAGACTGCAGGTGTGACAGGGCAACCCCCAGAAGAGAATTGCCCCTGCTCTACTCATCGGATCCTGATGCCGAGTCTTCTGAGCTGGGGGGAGTACTGGCCAGCTCCTCCTCTTCAGAGTCCTGAAAATCGGAGGTCTCTTAGGGAGAAAGGTGGAGTCCTGGTTGCCCTCCCAGGGAGCCACTTTTCAGTGATGAAGGACCCCTAATTCCCTACTCCCTTTCCCTGAACTCCAACACTGGCCTTCAGCACCTCCAATCTGCACTCCCCGTTTCCACGTCATTGCCCTCCCAGACCTACCACGGCCCCCAGCCCCCAGCCAACCACCCCTCAGGGGCCCCTCAGCCCAAACCCCTGCCTCACCTCGCTACGCCTTCTCTTCTTTTTGCTCTTGTTCTCTCCAGAAGAACTCTCATCACTGGACACAAACTCTTTGCTCTTGAAGCTCTCACTCAGCTGCCTTGACGACGACTTGGATGATGAACCCCTTGAGGGCGTCGATTTCTTTTCCATCTTCACCTTTACTTTCTTCTTCTTCTTTGACTTGTCCCTAGAGCAGCAAGAGGGAGAAGGCTCTGGGCCTTTGGGTTCACCCACCAAAGACAATCCACCCCTAACTTGAACAGGGCTTTCCTCCCTCGCGGCCACACTGCTGTCTCACTGTGACCGCAGACAGCCAGCCAAGTCAGCTCCAAGAGCCCCAAGGGAGGGCATCCTAAGTGAATAACCAGAAGACTCGCAGGCCAGAGCCTGAAGCAGCCGCACTCACAGAACTTATCTGGCATCTTTTGCTTTGTCTCTAAAAGTTCACGTGAATGAGGTTCCATCATAATTTGTTGTTAATTCCCCCATACCTTCGAGTAAAACTGAGCCTCTATGAAAAGCGCTCCCTTTACCCTGTGACTTCAGGGAGTCCCTAGCACACTGCCCATGCTTAGGGAAGTGCCTGCCCAGGCTTGAGAAGCACTGCCCTATTGCAGCCAGAGCCTATCTGTTATCTTCCACACCCCGACTCTCCACCTAGACCCGCAAAAATAGATGCTGAGAAAGCACTTACAGGGCCATTTTGTTCCCAACACTCACCTCTTAGAAGACTCACCCCGGCCCCCTTCATATTCTTTCATGGCTTTTTCATACTCCCTCCTGGCATCCTCCGCCTTGCGATCCCACTCCTATCTCACACACACACACACACACACACACACACACACACGAAAAAAAAAAAAAAGAAGAATGAGGCCTCTTCCCTAATGCAGGCAAAAATCTATCCAGAAAAGTTCTACCAAAGGCCTATCCATGTCCCCTCTTATCTCTGCTACCACTCACCTCTTTCTTCTCTTTGGACATTCCCTTCCAGATCTCGCCTGCCTTCTTGGAAAGATCTGTGATACTGATGCCGGGATGGTCCAACTTGATCTTCTCTCGGCTGGCATTGAGCCACAGCATGTAGGCAGACATTGGCCTCTTGGGGGCATTGGGGTCTTTACCTTTCTTCACCTACATAAGAACCCAAGCGCCTTCAGTCATCTACTTCTCATAGATGTCCCCCCAGTTCTCCAAAATAAAGTATTGATTACTCCTACTTAGAGGGAAAAATGGGAGAAGGATTAAATAGGCATAAAGCTAAACTGAGGGCTCCCAATGGCAGGCACCCTGTTTTCCTCCCCCCTGCACCCAGTGCCTAGCTCAATAGAGGCCCTTGCCTCAAACTGCTGGGATAGAAAAAGTGGGTCTCCTAATTCAGATCTCCCAGAAGCTAATTATCTCAAGGCCAGAGAGAAAACTTTCCAAGTAGATACTCCTCAAGGCCATATTCATTGGCCACAAAAAGCAGCCCCAGACGCACCTGACAGGCCCCACTGGTGGTGGACAGAAAGCAAAGGGAACAGCTTCCCCAACACCCCCCCAACCCGAGCATGCACCTCCACAGGCTTCTTGCGGCTCTTGCGGTCCTTGGCCATCTTGGCCTTTTTAAGCTGCTTCCGTTTCTTCTCGTCCCGGTCACTGTCACCCTCATTACTGGAGGAGCTGGCAGAGGCGTTGCTGTCAAACCTGCCAAGGAGATGGGGGCTTGGACCCAGGAGTGAGGACAGCACCCCACGGCCACAGGACAGGGGGACAAGGAGTCTAAAGCCATCTGCCCAGAAAAGGGGAGGCAGGACCACAGGACAGCCTCCACCCTCAGTCTCCACCCTGCTTCCCCCTCCCCACACTGGGCCCTGCCTCCAGTAAGACACAAAGTTACAAAAGCTTCAGCTGTTCTCTTCAGTCAAGGCCTAACCCACAACCTTCTCCATCCCCATACTCTTGGGGACAGACACTTGGTCTCATCTTGTTCAGAACATGCCCCAAGGCCTCTTCACTACCTCCTTTGAGCTACTTGTCTTAATCTACCCTGGAGTCTTTTCTGATGAAGAGACAATTATTATAGAAAAGGGAAAACACTTTTTAAGTAAATAAAATCTAGGGCTGCCCGGTGGGCTCAGTCAGGAGAGCATATGATTCTTGATCTCAGGGTTGTGAGTTCAAGCCCCACACAGGACGGGACGGGATGGGACGGGGGGAAGGGGTGGGCTAACTTCAGTCCAAGTCCATCCATAACCGTATTAATTAAATCCTTTAAAATCCACAGGGAACTCCTCAGGAGATGGAGGGACCTACCTCACACCTGTATGGTGCTGAACAATTTTCAAGACGTTTTTGCAAGCACCTGTGAACTAACCTTCATTAGTCAACAAGGCAGGAAGAACTCGCAGACTCCTATATACATGAGCCACGTATGTATATATGCACACACTATATGTCTCTATGTGCAGTCTTTTTTTTTTGGGTGGTGGGGCTGCCCAACGTTCATTCCCAATTCTTCTGGATAAAGGGAGTCCCTATTTTCTGTGGGAAGCACCTTGCCCCCCATTCAGGAGGGGCCCACTCCAACCCTAGGCTTTGAGGTGGGTGTATGCTTAGTTCTAACACATCAGAGCACATCCTAGTAACTCAGAAAGGGGCAGTAACCACGCTGTTTGCTGCTGCCCTGAGAGAAGAGGCACTTCTGGGTGTTAAACCAATAGGATTGAGCCTGCCCACAGCTCCCAAGTGTCATGCGGCACTGCGCGGGGCAAATGTAGCTAAAAGTAAGAGAATCAGAAGAAATAAAACAGATTCCCCACCACTTTTGAGCATCTGGATCCAGGTGTCTGAAACCAGTTATAGCCTTGGAATCTCCACTTACATAAACTTACAAAACTCTCCTTTATACTAAAGTCAGTGAGTCACGTTTCCGACGCTGACAATCAAGCGTCTTGATCAAGACAGCAGGGGGGACCACTGCCATTTTACAGGTGAGAACACGGAGATTTATTGACTGACCCCAAGACTCCCGGCTAGTGAACGGGCAAGCACTGGCCCTTAGTCCCATCTTCTCCCCGCTGCTTTTTTGGCTTTATGACGGGCCTTGCCCTTGCAAAGTCCTGGACGATCTTGAAAGCATTTCCACATATTACCTCCTTGGGGATCACTCTTCCACCCTTGGTCAGTAGCTAATGCTGAGACAGGAGAAACGTCCAGATATCTTCTGGTCCCTCAAGCTTATAGGCCTCCACCTCACCCCCACAAATGGAACCAAAACTCACTCCTCTGCCACGTCTTCTTCCTCTTCACCTGGGTTGAATGACTCATCTGGAGAAGAACACAGGCTGCATGAGCACTGCCCCATACAGAGACCCCAACCCTTACCTAGACACCCTGCTCGGCCCAGACACCCAACTCGGCCCAGACACAGGGCACTGGCCCCAGGCAAGAGTCTGCCCCACCCCACCCCCAGCCCCGCCCTGCACCCCAGCACTGCTGAGCCTAGCCCACCGGTTTCCTCTCCTGAGTCATCACTGCTGTCGTTGGCATTCTCTTCCCGGATCTTGCCCTCCTCCTTCATCCGCTCCAAGTAGGCATCATGCTGGTCCTCATCAGAGTCGGCATACTCGTCGTAGCTCGGGTTCATGCCCTAGCCCGGGGAGAGCGGGGAATGAGGGCCGGCTCACCCTGGCGCTATCAGCCCTGCACACTGGAAAGCACACCCCCATGCCTGTGAGTAGGGCCAGCTCCCAGAAGACCCTGGGGCAGGACTGTCCACACACAGCCAGCATGCAGGGCCAATGCCCGACGACTTCCTGCCAACTGGGTTAGTCCCAGCCCCTCCCACTCCCAGCCCCACGGGGGGCCCCTAAGGGGCTGCAGAGGCTGCTCTAAGGTCATGCTGCGGAAACCTGCACCAGGAGGGGGAAAGGGTCACACGCACCTCTTTTTTCTATAAGGGTAAGAAGAAAAGAGAGAGTGAAGAAGCAGCTGGGGGAATCCGTCCCTGCCCACCCCCAACGGGAGAGGAGGGCCGTCCTTTCCACACGCACAGGTACCTCTTTTAATCCACGGTTCTTGATGTTGAGTTTTTTTGCGTTGACAAAATCAAACAGCTTCCCATACTCCTCCCTGTGAGTGGAGAGGCACCGAGTTACTAGATGGAGGGGCCGACGCAGGGGTGCACTGCGTGCTGGCCCAACACCCACTGGCCAGGTGGACTGTGGGGCCTGGAGCTGGCGAGCCCACTGCCCAACCCAACAGCTTGCAGACCTCCGGGAGTGGCAGTAAGGGAGAGTCAGACACTAGTCTTCAGAGGAACCTGCAATCTCAAGCATCTGGGACAGAAAAGTGGGGGAGGGGTACGGACCTATTCACCAGATATGCCCAGAGCAGGGGGAGAACGTCAGGGAAAGGGACGTTGTCACCTTTTCACTAGACTGAATTTCGTCCTTCACAGGGTTGTCATGAAGACTCTGCGTGAAGATGCTTGTGAGACGTTCAGCCCACAGTGAGCACTCAATAAACATTAGCTGCTGTCTTCTCGGGCACAAGGCTCATTCCGGGAAAGGGAGAGATAGCATTTCCATCATGGGGGGAGTGGAGCAAAAGGGCTAATACTAGACACATAATATGGGAAACAATTTGAGTACAGAAAGCAAGCGACAGACAGGCTCTCAAAGGGTTAGCGCTTCAAGGAGGATCAAATCCCAGGGATGCAAAAGAAAACTTCTGCTCAAGGCTTGAAAAGTTGGGGACGAGTCACAGGCCCGGAGAGGGCTCCTGGCCATGCCAGGCTGCCCAGCAGAGGCTGGGTGGGGACCAGGATGCCCAGGAAGTGACTGGCAGAAGCTCTCACCTCTCGATGCTGCTGAAGGTATACTGGGTGCCCTGCTTGGTCTCAATTTCAAAGTCAAAGGAGCGAGTGGTGGTGGTGCCACGGGCGAAGTTGACAAAGGAGATCTCATCAAAGCGGATGTGCACAGGGGGCTTGTGGACGTAGATGAAGCCCCGCTCCAGGGGGTACAGCAGTCCCGAGCTCGCCTTGTAGGAGCAGGTGATGCACTGGGCCCCCGAGTGCCTGGCGAAGGATGTGGGGAGCCCAGTCAGCGCCCACCTCAGCAGCAGGTGGCACAGAGCCAAAGGCACCTCTCTCAGCAGTGTCCTCAGGCCCTTGGATGAGGAAACCTCACTAAGCTGATCCCTAGTGAGACAGCTGACTCCCATCACAGTCAGACCCAACCAGACCTCTAAGAGGTTACGTTCCCAGCATAGGGCCCACCCAGGAGGGCCAGAGCCCACACCCGCACCCTCACCCTTGGAAGTTGCCTGGGACTGTAATCTTGCGGTTGACCAGTGCTTTCATGACCCGGCTGACCATCTCGTACAGGGATCCCGACATGTTCTTAGTGAGCCGCCCCTCAAAGCGCTTCTCCACCTCTTCCCTGCAAACAGAGGAAGGCAGGGTCACAAGCACTGCCGCCTTGTAGCGGCACGCCGGTATCCTGCCTGGACGGGGGCAGGACGCGAGTCCAGAGACACACTCACTCGTTCATGTTGAGAGTCAAGGAGATGTCCTCATCCTTGGAGAAGAGGAGGATCAGGAAGTGGTAACGGGTTTGGCCCTGCTTGATGGGGGGATCTAGGCTGATCTGGTAAGGAAAGGCCAACAAGGTTTAGCACCAATCAGCGTCCCAAAGGAAGTACAGATGAACCCAACACCGGCAAGATCCATCTACTAAAGCCCCAGGTGGAAACCAGGCCACCCCCCTTCCCCCATGGCGGCTGCTCTTACCACGAAGAACATCTGGCGCTGGTCCTTGTGGGGCAGCAGGAAGAGGCGCAGCACCGTGGTATAGGGGATCTTATAGTCAAAGGTCTTGCCGTGCAGGTGCAGAAAGGTGGGGTAGATCCGAATGTCGTAACGGCCTCGGGGCGTCAGACACTGCAGCTCCCGGAAGATGCAGATGGCGTCTCCAGTGGCCTGGATCACATCCGCCTTAGACAGCACGTTCTGGGCAAAGGCCTGCACGAGCACACGCTGGAAGTCAGGCCGGCCAGGGCCCGCTCAGCGCCAGCTTCTCCCAAGGCAGCTGGAGCAGGGGAGACCTCACCTCAACAGGGTCCACACCATCCTCCTGGGTGGGAGGAACGTAGAAGCGCACCTCCATGAGAGAGACCTCCGCATCGTCGTTCTGGTGGAATTCCAGGGTCACCTCGTTCTTGCCTGTGGTGCACTGGGACACGTTGCTGAGGGGGATCTCGAAGACTGGCTGGTCGCCGATGTCAAACGAAAGCAGCTGCCCTGAAGGGAAAGGGCTTATCAGCCACAAGCGTCTTCCCTCAAGTTTGCCTCAAGATTGCCAAAAAACAACCTTCCCACCAGACTGCTGGTCTCCTGAGGGCAGGACGTGGGCTGCTCGGTTCACACTGTAGCCCCGAGACCAGGCACAGGGCCTCACGCACTGCCGATCCTTGAAAAATACATGATGAATTATAAGGGCGCCTGGGTGGCTCAGTCGATTAAGCGTCTGACTCTTGATTTTGGCTCAGGTCATGAGCTCACGGTTTGGGAGTTCGAGCCCCGAGTTGGCTCCCCGCGCTGCCAGCACAGAGCCTGCTTGGGATTCTTTCTCTCTCTGCCTCTGTCTCTGCCCCTCCCCTGCTCACACGCTCTCTGTCTCTCTCTCAAAATAAACAAATGTTAAAAAAAATTTTTTAATATATGGTTAATTACAAACCAACAGAAAACCAGAAATAGTAGCATAAACAGAGCAAAACGAGGTGAAGGCCTAAATCCTTCACCCGACCTCCTCCTCCAAACCTTAGTCTTCCCAGGACTCACCACCAAACTTCACAGTTCCCCAGTTCCAGCCCTTCACACAGAGGTCCTTCTCCATTAGCTCAAGGCGATAGTGAGTTTTGAAGAAATCTGAGAGTTTCTCAAACTCCTGTGGGTAGAGGGGAGACAGCAATCCCTGTAAACCCCGATGGCCTTAACACAAACTTAAACATTCTGGGATCATACGTGAGCAACTGCCTCAGTATCCCTTCTAGCAGAAACCCAAGCTGTTGAAAGAAGTAGTTGCCGAGGACTGGATCTCAGACAAAGGGAGGAGGAAAGCATGCGAATGACATCTCTGGGTAGAGGCCTCACGGTGCCCTCTGACTTGTATAAGTATTGTTTTAAGGAAATAGAAATTAAAAAACGGAGTAAAGTCTTTGATGCAAGCAGTTCAAAACAGAAAAACAAAACTCAAACTGAAGCACTAAGACTCTGAATGTGGATAAAGGCATCGAGCAGAAACCACCAAAAATGTACAGCGTAGAAAAACTTCTGGAGTCAAAGCACAAGACACCCAAGGCGGAACACTGCTTAACAGCCTCGATGGCCCTGCTCTAAGGAGCCAGAAGTAGCAATTACATGGTTATCAAAGGAGCCCCAACACTCTAGAAGATTAAAAACAAATAAGACGGTGCGGTAAAAAGGGGTTATGGCCATAGGACATCTCACCGACTCTCGGAAGCCATCATACTTGTAGACATGGCCGTTCTTTGTAAGCAGTTTAAGTCCGTGGCCCAGGGCAACACGGCGCCAGATGCCTTCCGTCAACTCCCCAGCTTGGATGTTGTCCACTTTGCCCGTCTTACTGTTCTTAAAGATGATACCCTGGCGGCTCAACCGCAGCCGACCATCGTTCTGTTGGAAAAACAGGCCCAAACGGAAGGGTAAAATACACAGGTGTACCGCACATAGACAGTCCCGCCCAACACCTGCACTGGGCTGGCCAGATACAGACGTGGGACCCACAGATGCAGGGGCGAGAGTCAGCGAGAAGGGACAAGTAACCAGGAAATCTGGACGCTAACACCAGATCCTGGCATCCAAAACACTTGCGGGTCCTCAGTTTCAGGGCTCAGGACTGAGTAGCACAAATGGTCCCTTTCAAGCTCAGATCCTATGACTCCTACGCAGGTGGTTTATGAATTACAATGGCTCCAGCTACAATTTTTCAACTTGACGATGATGTGAAAAGGACACATGTTCAACAGAAACCAGTATTTGAATTTTGTGTCTGTCTCTTCTCCCAAGCGAGCAACATGCGGTACACCAGTCTGGTGATGCCGGGCAGGGGCAGTGACCACAGCTCCCCAGTCAGCCCCATGATCACCTGTCCACAACCAATTCACGTACGACCGACCATTCTCTACCCCTTCTGTTTTACTCTCACGACGGTATTTATTAAATCACATGTGGTGTTCAAACTTTATTATAAAGTAGGCTCTGCGTTTGATGGTTCTGCCCAACTGTACGCCGACCTAAACATTCTGAAACCCTGTGTAAGGTAGATTAGACTAACCTAGCATATTTATCAAGTTACATGTATCAAATGTATTTTTGACTTAAAGGGTATTTTCAATTTACGGTGGGTTTGGGGGGACATAAGGCCACAGGAAGTCGAGGAAGATCTGTACACGTTGCTTTTAGGGGGCAAAACATCAAACTACACATTATACTCGGACTCCTTTCCCAAAGTACCAACATCAGCGAAGCAAGCTCTTGCTAATGGACAAAAAGTGTACCGTCCTTCCCTCTGTTGGCCTGCATTAAAAACCCAAGCTCTTCTTACCATGGAGCCTTTCACCTCCTGATAGATGTCGTTGAACTCCAGTGTTTCCGCCATACTGATATGCCCCCGGTGGCCTCCACTGGGAGCTGGGCCCCAACTCCCGGCTGAGTGTGCAGATACTCAGCAGGCTGGGAATCTGAATTCAAGAGGGAGATGGAGAAACATCAGAGACAACAGCCTGCTCGACCCACGGATGGAGCCAGGTGGCAAGCCGTGGCTGAGCCTGGGAGGTCTCGGGATCTCCTCCGCCCGGAACCCTACACGCAGGCCCTGAAGACTTCTCGAGTCAGGCCCAGTGGGGGCTGGAGAACCGGGCCCGGAGGAGCGCTCACACCCGGCCCACAGACCGCTCCGGGCGCTCCGCCGGGAGCCATGGCAACGAGTAGCAGAACCCGGAGTCAGCCCCGAGCCTGCCCCTCGCCGGCGCGGGGACCCAGCTCCGAGCGCAAGGTTTCCCTCCCAGCGCTCCCACCGCGCCGTGGCCCGGGACCCACGGCTCCCCCTCCCCCTAAAATGGATTCGCCCGCTACCCGTGGATTCGAACGCGGAACGGTCCATCTTGAGCGTCCCGCGGGGGAGCGGGGCCCGCGCCCTCCGGGGACACGGGGCCGGAGACCACCCACCTTCTCAAGATGCAGCCTCGCTACGGCCCAGGTGCGGGCGGTGGGCGCGCTGGGGGACGCGGGGGGGCGGGGACAAGGGGGAGTTGGGGGGGGGAACGCTGGGGAAGCTTTTCCCGCGTGCGCGGCCCCGCGTCCCGCCACCGGAAGCCGTGCACGGACCATAGAGAGGACGAGCTGGCTAGAGAGACGGGAGCCCGGTCCGCCTACGAGGGGAAAGGATAGAGCGTCCACCGCTCTGGACAACCTGAGAGAAGCGCATCCGCCAGCAAGTAGCGCCGCGTGGAACCAGACACAAAGATGGGAGTGCTTAGGGTTCTTTCTTTAAAAATTACACCTTTCCAGTGGAGGACTAGGTCCTGGAGGGAAATTGCGTAGTTTTATCTTGTTAGGCTTCCCACAGATAGCGTATGTCTGTCTGTCCTTCTGTCCTGCACAGGAGCGCTTTCCATGGAGTAGAAAGGAGTCTCTGGATGCCAGAAGAAAAATATTTCGAGGTGCGGAGAGAAGTGACCCGCCCGGCTCCCGGGTGTCGGTGTCAGGGTGACTGTACCGCTCTCCCCTGACGCCTGGGACGGGATGCTCTGAAATGAGTTCACTGCCTGCACCCAAAAATTTCACACCCAAAACCGCAGTATATGGGTCGCCTGGAAGAGGCTGGCACCTGGCCGGATCAAGTTCAAGTGCTCGTGTCAGATTCACCTGAGAGCCGGCGCTGATTCTGATTCGAAACCCCAGCAGCCTGGGATTTCAGACGCCTTACCCACCCCACCCCCACCCCCACCCCCAACCAATATATTCGTAGGGCGCATCTGGTAAAAATCAAAGGAGGCCTTAGCCTCCTGGGAGGGATGTTTGAGTTTGACCACCTTCCCTTTGCAGTTTGACCACCTTCCCTTTGCAGATGGGAAAACCGAGGCCCAAAAAGGATTTGCCCAGGGTCCCATATCTCCTTACCCCTGTCCAGTTCCCTTCTGTCATAATCACAATGACTCTACATCCAAAATAATTGATATGTGTCCTGCATGAAGACATTAGGGCAGAATATTTAAAACTCAAGACTTTCCTGACAATCTGACTTAGTTATGCCAACTTGCTAGCTCAATCCTGGGGTAAGAGACAGCAGGAATGAATGCACTGTTGCTCCCTGAATTCATAACTTTAACCTCTGAGTAATGGCTATTCCAGCCCTACCTAGTGACATACATTAAGTAAACATACATTAAGCTCCAACTCGGTTCTAGGACTTGAGGAGAGTAGCAAATAAGATAGGAGCAGCCTCAGCCTTCCGGGATCATAATATCAAACAAAAGACTGAGATAAGTAAAGTCATAGTAAAACAAAGCAAAACAGAGCCCCCCAAAGTGATAATACCATGCTGCAGGTAGAGTATCGGCCACTGCCAGTTTGAGTTAAGAACATGAACTATGTAACTCTACTCACTCCTCCCAGAAGATCAAGAGAAATATTCAAGAGCCCCTTCCCCCTGACCGATGCTATAAAGGCAACTCAGGAAAGGAGTAGATGGCTGCAGAATTGAGTGGCTTTAGGAAGACTTTCACGAATGAACGGGGCAGTCAGCCCAGGAAAGGCTGCTGGATGCCTGGGGAGATGTTTCAAGGGGCTCTAAGGAGCGCATGAAGCAGCTGGTGAGCTGGGATGAAGATGCGGCATAAGAGAACGGAACGATAGACAGAGTGCAGATAAAACATGAGTCCCAGAGGGCCCTAGCCAGCTGCATCCCAGGCAATCAGGAGCCTGGAATTGGAGACCCCACCCCTGCCGTGACATCACAGGGGAGTGGGGTGGAGACGAACATAAAGGGGGTCCCCCCTCCACGCCCTGGCCTTGGACTCTTGGCAGCCCAGAGTATCAAGAGGAGAGAGAGCCTGGGCACTGAGCTAGGGTTGCCTGACTTAAAGGAACAGGCTCCCCACCCATTCCTCAAGCTCCTCCAAGCTGCCCCCTCCAGTCTTTGATCTCTGTCTCCGTGTCCTGAGGACCTCTCCCTCCTGAGGCCACCATTGGGCCCCTTCTCAGTGGCCTCTGAGTGCTCTCTCAGCATGAACTGCGTGTCAGACTTCTTCACCTATGAGACCACCAAGTCGGTGGTTGTGAAGAGCTGGACCATTGGGGTCATCAATCGAGCAGTCCAGCTTTTGATCATCTCCTACTTCGTGGGGTGAGTCCTGTGGCCCTTAGGGTCCTGGCGGGGGAGGGCTTCCTGGTGTCCTCTCGGTGTTGCTGTCCAGCAGCCCGCGCTTCTCTCTTGGAGGAAGCAGTCTCTTCTACGGAGTTGTGTCCCAAGGACTGGACCTGGCCACCCCCGTCAGGGATCTGGTCCCCAGATGAGTTCTTTTCCCCAGTAAATCCTCGGGAATCAGAAGGCAGTTTCTAGGTACATACTCCAAGGAGTGAGTTCTTGCCCTGGTACCACGCCCTCCACCAGGAGAAGTCCCAGGTGACCATCTCGCTTCTCCCTTCTATCCTGCCCCCACCAGAGAACAGGACCCCCCCTCACATCTTCCCATTGTCCTCAACCAGTGCTTTGGGGTCTCAAAAAGACGAAGGAGCACAGGAAAGGGGAAGGGAAGGCACTGAAATGAGGGAGACAGTGCCGGTTTGATCAGATGGATGGTGGGGTTGGAAGGAGTGAACTGGAATGAGGAATTCCCCTCCTACCTTTGGGGAGATGATGAAAAAATGGGGGAGAGGGAGAAGCCCTTGCTCTTAGAGGGCAGGGCAAAGCAGGGAGTCTGCTCCTTGGTGAGGGGGAGAGACACAGGCACAAATAACACCCAAGGGAAGAGTTGCTCAGGGGAAAGGTAGCTGTTTGAACATGATACAGGGACCCTGCTAGTGAATCCAGAAACACTCCCCTTTGTCAGAAGCGTACATTGTCTACTGCTACCTGACTTTCTACCATATAACCCATCCTCAGGGCTTTTTAAGAGCGAGTGGTCTGAACACCCTCTCCCAGTGCCCACCTTTAAAGGCATGCACCCCCCAAACACACACACACATATATACACAAAGGATCATGAAACAGACAATGGCTGGGGGGGGGGGGAATCACAGGTCCTGTCTTTCTTGTGGTCATTTGCACACACTGATGGGGCACCAGAAATGACAGGCAGAAACCTCTAGAGTTTTCTTTCCTGGGATGCCGGCCTCAAGTCTCATGCTGTTCCTTGAGACAATGGCTCCGCATGTCAGAGACAGCTAGCCACTGACACCTGTCATGAGTGAATTCAAGCAAGTGAAAAGAGACATCCGGTGTACGTGTAAGCTGGAGCTGCGTGTGCATGGGCCCCCACGCCTGAAAGGTCAGAGTCATGTGTGAGTGTGTGCTCGGAAAAGCGGGCAGATGTAGATTCAAGGATTTTTTTCTTTCTTTCTTTTTTTTTTTTTGCGTTGCATACTTTGTGGGAGCCAGTAGGCTTCACTTATGTGGCTGTTGTGGACAAGGCTGTGCACGCAGTGCTCCTCTAGGGGATATGACAGAGGGATTCAAGCCTTGGAGTAGGATAACCGTGTTGGAGTTTACTTCCAACTTCCAACTTTTGTGAGATACAATGTTTGTGAGTGGTGCATGTCTGCATCTCTGGAGTCTGGCTGGAAGTCAGTTCTCAACTGTTTCACATTGCCGTGTATATCATGATTCTGTGACTGTTTATAGCCACGAGACGGGAAAGTGGTCCAGGTGCGTCCCAAAGCTGCCTCAGCACATTCCTGGCTCCATTGGCTCTAGGCGGAAGGTTGATGGGGAGTAGGCAGTGGCTCCTGGGCCAGTCTGCTCTGCTCTCCCCTGACCCCTGTCTCCTTTTCATCATGATGCCATCCGATGCTCTGATCCTCAGTGCTGGAGCCCAGCCTGCAGGAACAAGCATGAGAGGCTCTTTGGCATCTTGATATCCAGCCCCATCCATCTCCCAGCCTGACAGCTCCCCACGGAGCGCTCCTTCCAGTTACATCCGTGCAGTCTGCAGCCCAGCCCCCCGGCCTGAGCCCCATCTCTGGGCACGTGAGCCCATGCACCATTAGGACTTCATGATCCATTGTCATTAATTCAGCAGAAATTTATTGAGCGTTTCTTCATGCCGGGCATTGGGCACCGAGGATGGAAAGGTGGGCAAAAGCAGACAGGGCCCTCAGCCCCATGGAGCTTACAGTGCCAGAGACGGACATTGATCAATCTCCACGAACAAATGTAAACTCTCAGGTGAGGCTCCAGATTTGAAGAAGAGGTGCACGGTGCCAAGAGAGCTGCTAGCAGGGAGGAGGTACTTGACCTGGCCAAGTTGCTAAGTGAAGGTTTTCTGGAAATGTGGTGCCCAAGCCAAGATCTGAAGGGCAAGTAAGAACAACCCAGGGAGGAAAAAAAAAAAGGGAAGGAAGAGGGTTTGAGGCAGGGAAACCCAGCTCTGCAAAGGGAAAGAGCCTGGCACACAGGGAAAAGAAAAGAAGCTTCTGTGGCCCAAGCAGAGGGAGCAAAGGCGAGTGCGGTGTAAGGTAGGGGTGGGATCACAGACCCAGCCAGACCTCAGAGCTTTCATTCGTACAGAAGGACAATGGATGGGAACTCTGTGTGTGTGTGTGTGTGTGTGTGTGTGTGTGTGTGTGTGTGTGAGTGAGAGAGAGAGAGAGAGAGAGAGAGAGGAGACAGACAAATGAGATCTGAATTGGGAGATCACTGGCTAATACGCCAAGGCATTGGCATGGGTAGGAATGGATGCAGGATAATCCGTTAAGGGTGGTGGAGTCATATGGAGAGAGATGGCTTGGACACAGAATTGGAAAGGATTTGTAATGCTGTTACAGTATAGTACATGTTACATGACAGTAACATTTAACTAACACTTGAATCTCTGCCATATTAGCCCTGCAAGGTAGACTAGATGCACAACCTTACTAGGCCACATGTAACATGAGCCAACCGTTTCTCTTATGCATTCACAGAACACACCAGCTAATCATCTCCACGCATGCTCCCTCCCCTGCTCCAGCCTCGGCTGCTCATCTGGGGTTGATACCAATTCATCCCTGGGTTCCTTTACCCCAGCCAGGTGCACAGAGAGGCCAGGACTTCCCTGATGTTTCTCACACAGCCTTCCTGGGCCCAGGTGGCAATTCCCAGTCTCCTCTGTGGGGTGGAACTACCTAACAGCCAGTCTCTTTTGGGGGATCCTCTGGGGAGCCAAGGAGGAAATAGGGGATCCCTGGGGTTTGAGTTTATAGAAGCACTGGCTGTGCTGTGGCTGGTTTGCAAGGCCTTCTTGAAGGAGGTGCCTTCCTGCACACTGGCAGAGGGGCATTCCCCGCCCGTTGATGCTCCATCTTCAGAAGAACCCGTAGTGGCTGATGGTGCCTCCGACCCCTCACAGCCCTGCTCTCCCCGTCTTCCCTCCCCCTGCACGGCCCAATCCATACACTCACCATTTGCATGGCTGCCCCATTTGGTTCATCATATCCAGCCTCATTTTGAATCTTATAAAGCAGCTCAATACATACAGCAGTTACAAGGAGGAGCTGCTCTAATTTAAAGAGAAAGGCCTGGAATCCCACCTTCTTGGCCCACCACTCCATCCTCTCACCCGGATGCACCCTAGGCACCCCGTAGGACACTAGGTGACAAATGTAGGAAGACCCTTTGGAACCACCCGTGGTGCAGGTGCAGAGAGAGGAGAGGTGTTCACTCTGGTCTCCCTCTCCCCTCTCCACACCCCACGATGGGGAGGCCATGGAAGGAGGAGCCTCTGGTTAGAAGCCTCGCTGACACCAACCATGAGTGGGGCTGGGATGGGTCACCTTATGTCTCTAAGTCTCAGTTCTCATATCTGGAAAATGGGTTTAGGAATACCTACCCCCAAGGAGGCATGGAAAGGCAAGCCACCATGTCAAGTGCCTCGCCTGAAATGGGAGAGCCAGTAATCAATGGCAACTACTATCATTTCATAGGCTCCCCAGCATACCTCTCCCTTTCCGCCATCCGGCTCACCTTCCTCAGAGACCCCTCTGCCCTGACACACACAGCGCACACCCCCCACGCCCACTCCCCGACTCTTTCGGGGGTGGGGAGAAGGGTGCTGGGACGCTGCTCTGGACTCCTTCCTGCACATGCCCCCTGCTAAGGAGCTGACACCTGCTTTCCGCTCCATAAATAATAAACCAGGAACACAAGAAAAAAATAAGTTCGAGTAGCAGCGTAAATGCCAAGAATTGAAGGCTAGGTCCTGCCCTATCTCCTCAGCCAAGGCCTCTGGAGACAGACCCAATCCCTCTGTTCTGGAAATGAAACATCCCTTTATTTTGAGCTGCCCTGATGATGTCCTTGGACCCCAAGGGGCCACTGAAATTCTTCCATTTATTATTTAATTCAGATGGAGAACTCTGATGTGGAGTCTCCTACCCACTGGGCACAAGAAGGAGCCTTAGAGGAGAAGGAGGAGGGAAGAGACTGATTAATTATTCTTCTGAGCACTAAGAGCCCTTCCTCCTGAGACGTTCCGAAGCCTGGAGATGTTCCCCTAGTGGCCAGGAGCCAGCAACACCAAGACCAGGGGCCAGGCGTGAGGGGGTTGAGCAGTCTGTCCGGGTGGGAAGCCACCCATCAGCTTGGCAAGTTAGCACACCACTCTGTGCTTCTGTTTCCTTATGTGTCACATCAGGGGCGCCTGGGTGGCTCAAGTGGGTTGGGCTTCTGACTACTGCTCAGGTTGTAATCTCACGGTTCGTGAGTTCGAGCCCCGCATCAGGCTCTGTGCTGTCAGCGCGGAGCCCACTTCTGATCCTCTGTCCCCTTCTGTCTCGGCCCCTCCCCGACTCGTTCTGTCTCTCAAAAATAAATAAGCATAAAAAATAGTAATAACAATAATGATGTTTCACTGGGTTGTGGTAAGGACTCAGTGAACCCTGACCCCATAGAGCACTTAGCGGGCTGTGTCGGTTAGGAGACAATGACCTGAACCCCACTTGTCATCCGCAGATGTTCTTGGACTTTATGAACAGGGCAAGGGGTTTTAGGAAACCGTGTCATTAGATCACCACTCAGAAATGTGTCCATTATGTTGCCAGGCACACTGAGGTTCTGGAGGGCATATTGTGGCTGTGGCTTCTACCCGGGCCAGAGGTGCGCTCAGCTGGAAGCAGGGAGACCTGGGCCCTTGGCTTCACTCCCTCCACTGGGCAGGGCCCCCAGCCATGAGCTGATACTACTCATTTGGACATAAGGTGGTGGATGAGATTTCTATGTCAGCCGTACTTCCTTACGAGCCCTTGATGAAACCCCTCCCTTTCCAAAATAAAATGGAAAAGAAAGTAAAGCGCACAGCACCACAGATGTCCATACAGGCACGGTGTTCGTTCGAGCCCAGGACAAGCATGTGACCAACTCCCAGTGGTGCATTAATCAGGACGTTGCCTGCTAGAAGGCAGCAACGATAAAACAGGTGACAGGTTAGGAGCCACCCGCAAGCCCGGGCTGTGACTCCAGCCCTTCTGTCCCACTCAGGACAGCATTTGGAATTCAGACCCATGAGGGAAGCCCCATTATGGGGACAGCACCTAGTCCTTTCACTGAAAACTGAACAAAGAGTCTCTTGCAAATGTCAACCTGTGTTCACATCAACAGGATGGGTAGGTGACCCCCAGCATGGCCCCGGAGCTGTTCCCCTCTATGGGGACACCAGAGGTCATCTAATCCAGTCCCCGCCCCCTCATCTGAAAGCATCTCCTTGAATCCCCCCAGGCATGTGGAGCTCACCACCTCCTATAGCAGCCCATTCTTGGACACTTTCTGGGGTCAGAAAGCTCCCGGGCTTGAAATCCTAACTCCCTCCTTGTGAAGTCCTCAGGTCGGCTTCCCAGCCTAACACCTCTGCAGCTTTGTGCTGTCCACACTACACAGCCTCCAGCTCCTTCCTTCCGCTTCTCCTCGTCTGATGGGCCGCCCCAGCTTGGTGCCTTCCCCGGTCAGCATGCAGAAAGTGACCCGAACCCAGCATTTCCCGGAGTGCACTCCTGGATTCCACGAGATGTCACTTCGAGTGTTTCTCCAGAACTAAGAATGTGCAGCACCTTCCAAACGCATGTGATGACCTTTTCCATCTGTATAATGGGGACAGTGACAGCATCTGCCTCCCCGTATGGTGTCCGAAACCAACCGGACTGGCTACAGGCTGGGAGTGTGCTATTGAGTGAGCCATAAGTGGCTTGCGCCTGGAGGGCTCTCGTGGGAGGGGCAGGCACCTCACAGAAATGCAGAGGGCAGAGTGGCCTGCAGGCCGTCCGTGCTGCTGGGGGAGGCTGCGGTGTCCGGGAAGAGAGGTGGAGGTGGGAGAGAGGGAGCCCCCGCCGCCCCCATCCTGGCCCAGGTCGTGGCTTGAAGCAGCAGGCAGAAGGCAGTACAGGTAAACTTCCACTGGGTGGCAGCAAAGTCCAAGGAATAAGACCAGCGGCCTCTGCCTGGTAACCCAGCTTCTTTTACCTGCCAGGTGCGAAGCTGCCCTCCCTTCCTCCTCTAACCTTCTCATCTGGCGCTTGCACACGTGAAGACTCTTCCAAGTGCCCAGCTCCCAGATGCCTTCACTGACTTGTTTTCTGAACACTTACTATGTGCCAGCACTTAGGATAACCCATGAGCAAATCTGGGATGCTCAGGGTCAGAGGTATAGGATCCTCTGGGAAGAGAACTTCCCAGTCACCTGCCAAAGAGGTATCCTTCGAGTCAGCAGGAATGACGATGCGTTGGCAAAGGGAAGATGTTGCCCTCAAGGGGGTGAAAATCTGTCCTTGAGATTTTTATATACAAAACACAAGTATACATACTGTCTAAGCAGCTATCTACAGTGTTAAAATTTCATGATGGTGGGGGGTTAGAGGGGAAAAGAAGTCGAGGCAGTAAATGGGAAAGATGGGAAAGCACCACTCCAAGCCAACCCAGGGCGAGGTCCCTCCCCTCCAGCACAGGCCTTCCCCCGCCCCCCGCCAGACCCTGCGCAGTCTAATGTCGAGAAGGAACCCTCTCCTGGCTTCTGTCTGATGGGCCTAGACCCTCTTCTCTTGCTCTCCATCCCTGCTCTCCTGCCCAGGTGGGTGTTCTTGCACGAGAAGGCTTACCAGGTGCGGGACACAGCCATTGAGTCCTCCGTCGTAACCAAGGTCAAGGGCTTTGGACGCTATGCCAACAGAGTCATGGACGTGTCTGATTATGTGACCCCACCCCAGGTACAGTCCGCCCACCTCCAGGGCGCTGTGTGGGTGCCCAGATGCTGGGGCAAGGCAGGGAGAGTGCCGATGGGATCCCCAAACCAGGGCTTGTGGCCTCCGTGATCCAAGAAGCCCTTCCCCTGCAGCTGGGGGGTGCAAGCTGGGGTGGGGTGCTTGGGCCTGCCCTCCAGAGTGCAGCGCTAGGCATCAGGGGAGCAGGGTAACCCTAATCCTGCAACCAACACAACACACACGGGAGCAAGAGCAGCCAGGTGGGTGGTGAGACCTGACCTGGACCCACCTCTGCCCTCTATCAGCCCTGTGACCTTGGCTAATTCTCTCCCCAAGTCAGTTTCCTCATCCATCGAGTGGGGACAACAGTAATGCCCAGTGCCTGGATTGGAACTGGTGCATTATTTTTTCCCTTCTCCTTTCTCCTACCAAGGGCACCTCTGTCTTTGTCATCATCACCAAGATGATAGTGACTGAAAACCAGATGCAAGGATTCTGCCCAGAGGTGAGGGGAAGAAGGGAGGTTGGATGGAGCAGGTCAAGGAAGAAAACATTGCGGGTGGGGAGCGGCGGCAGGGAGGGACGCGGGTGTGAGCAGAGATCCGAGTTCCAGCCTTGGAGCTGTGTCCGGGGACCTCCACCTTCCAAAGCCCCTCACCCCCGGTTATGGGGAAGCATGGGGAGCCGCGGGGCTCATCCAAGCCCAGTGCAGGGCCCTACACCCACCTGCACACCTGTCTCCCCACAGAGTGAGGAGAAGTACCGCTGTGTATCAGACAGCCAGTGCGGGCCTGAGCGCTTCCCGGGTGGGGGTGAGTGCAGCCCTTCCCCCTCCCGTTCCCCCCTGCAACCCAGAGTGTTAGTGGGACCCAGGAGGGCAACACATCCCAATGGGGGAGAGCCCACGCTAGGCGACAGCGTGGGAATTGGCCTATTCCTTGTAACTCTGCCAGCATTTATAGATGCTCCTGTGAGCCGGAGGCAGTGGGGGCTGTCCCCAGAGGAATCTGCAGCCCAGGGATGGTGGTGACAGACAGGTGTGCTGTGAGGGAGCAAGTGCTATCAAGAAGAAACAGTGGGCACTGGGGAAGGGAGAGAGATCAGCTCCTGGTAGGTGGTCCCAAATGGCTTCCTAGAGGCGGTGACATTTTAGATGGGCCCTAAAGGTCTAGGAAGGTGTTTTGGAAGGATAGAAGGGTTTTGAGAACATTCTAGACAGAAGGAACAGTGGCAGCAAAGCCTCAGAGGCAAGGAGGAGCACACCGTGACGGGGGAGCAGGGAGAATCATCTCCCTCTGGCTTGGTCTAGGGCTCAGGAGGAAAGGAGGGAGAGCTCGGCAGGGTCCTGTGCCATGGGTCCACCCGTTTCTCCCCACCACCTGCGGGGGCCCTGAGTGGGTGGGTTCCCTGAGGAAAGGTGGGGTGGGGGTGAGGGAATGGCAAAGGCCCCCAGCACTTGTGGCCCCCCTCACAGGCATCCTCACCGGCCGCTGCGTCAACTACAGCTCTGTGCTCCGGACCTGTGAGATCCAGGGCTGGTGCCCCACCGAGGTGGACACGGTGGAAATGTGAGGACCCCGCCCCAGCTCTCCTTTGCCAGTGTGGGGAGCTCTGCATCTCTGTGCCTGCAGAGGGGGTCGTGGCGCCCCCGGTGGTGCCCAGTCCAGGGCTGGGAAGTGGTCTCGGGATGGCACCTTCCCCCCTGCCTCACCCGCCAGCCCTCCCCCCTCCCTGGCCGTTGGCCCCAGAGAGGCCATGACCAGCTGCCCGGTAGGAAGCATCCAGCAGGAAAGGTGGTCCCTGGGGAGAAAGTCCCTTGTTTCCTCTTCCTCTTCCCAAGAAGCCAAGGCCCCCTTGTTCTCACCCACAGGCCTGTCATGATGGAGGCTGAGAACTTCACTATTTTCATCAAGAACAGCATCCGTTTCCCCCTCTTCAACTTTGAGAAGTGAGTCCCAACTCCCTCCCTGAAACAGGAAGCAGTACCTCATTTTCAGAGGGGTAGAGAAGCCCCGTGCCCATGGCTCTCCCCATGCCGTCCCCCCATCTCCCTGGGGCTCCTATTCCCAACCTCCCAGCTGGCCTTGACCCGGTACTAGGAGGGCTCCGGGGCCGGTCTCCGTGCCAGCCTCCCGCCTCGGGGCCCAGAACCCAGATGGGAGCTCTGCCCCAGGCAGGCGATGGACAAGGTCAGCCTGGGCCTGGAGCCCAGATCCCGCCAACCGGCGGGGCCTGTTCCCACCTCTTTCCTCCCACATCAAGCCCAAGCCTCTAGTTAGTTAGGAGTTCGCTGACTCCTTCACTCGACAAGCCCCCCGCGGGCGTCGAGCACAACGCCAAGCACCACGGAGGGGCCGAGGGAAATCAGACGTGGCCCCTGCGCCTGGGAGCCCCGGCCTGGGTGCTGGGGGACGTTAGACATGGGCGCACTCCACTCTGATACAGGGGGGGGGGGTAGGAGGTGCAGGGAAGATGCAGGCACAGAGGGGATGGAGCCCCCGAGTGTCCAAGACGTCGGTCCCGGACCCTCCTGCCTGAGCCTGGAGGGTCTCCGAGGAGGCTGTGCACGCCCGTCTTCGAGTGAACCCTGGCCCTCGCTTCTCCTCCCCAGGGGAAACCTCCTTCCCAACCTGACAGCCGCCGACATGAAGACGTGCCGCTTCCACCCTGACAAGGCCCCCTTCTGCCCCATCTTGCGGGTGGGGGACGTGGTCAAGTTTGCCGGGCAGGATTTTGCCAAACTGGCCAGCACGGTGAGCACCTAAGGGAGGGCCTCGGGCCCCTTGGCTGGCAGAGGGTGGAGGGAGACGCTGGGGACGCGGAGCTGCGGCCGGGCAGCGCCACCTGGTGGGAGCATCCTAGGCCTGCAGCTGGCTTTGTGCCTCAACGCGTCTCCCACTCCGGTCCCAAGGGATCCTTGCCTTCCTAACCCTTCCGGCCAAGCCTCAGTCTGCCATCCTCACCTTCACACCCCACCTTAGAGCTCCGAACAAGCCCATGTGGATCCATTCTGCTGCTAAGGGTGGGAAGACAAAACCGGGGTTTATGGGCTCAAAGGTCCTCACCCCTGAGTGCAGCACTTTGTTTACTAAGCAACACGTGGCAAACCACTTTCCCTCCACCTGGAGCATGGGACGAATCACGTGTCTGTCACCGAGCCCCTACCCCCAGGCCGTGGAGACAGCCCTTCCTTCTCACACCTGACCCAACCTGTCCACAGGGCGGAGTCCTCGGCATCAAGATTGGCTGGGTGTGTGACCTGGACAGGGCCTGGGACCAGTGCATCCCCAAATACTCCTTCACCCGGCTCGACAGCGTTTCCGAGAAGAGTAGCGTCTCCCCAGGCTACAACTTCAGGTAATCCGGGGGCTCCTAGGACACTGGGAGGAGGGCGCAGGGGCTGTTCTAGAGCCCCACCCCGAGCAGCAAGGCACACGGGGAAGAAAGGGCCCCAGGTGCCCCCATGGGGCTTCCGCTCAACATTAGGGAAGGCTTTCTAAGTACCGCCCCCAGGTCAGTGGTTAGACCACATGACTAGGGTCTCCCAGAGTGTGTGTTCCGATTCGGAGCCCTTCTGAGCTCCGGCTCTAAAGCTGTAAGGTGCCTCAGGTCGGCACAGGCAGCCCCAGGGTTTCTGGATCCACAAAGCTAGGGCAGTAGTGGTGTCCAGTTACAAGATGGAAAGGTGGTGTTTCTTTTCCGTGCATCTTCACCTGGGTCACAAGTAATAACCACGATGGCGGGTGGCTCTTTCATGCCTCTCCAACCAAGAGCTAAAACCATCGAGTTCATATTCCCAATGTCCTTGAGACATGAGGACTCTCTCCCCTTCGCCCACCACCACCACCACACCCATTTGAAGAAAGGGAAAGAGAAGAACCCAAGATTAACTATTTGGAACCGGCTGAAAGCCCCTGTCCGAGGCCTTGACTTCCCACCCTAGTTTCCCCATCTGTGAAATGACCACAGTACCATTATCTTGAGGATCCTAGTAACCAAGGTGTGAAAAGCTTCAGCTCTCTGTTTTGTTTTTCCCTTAACTTTTAAAGATCTTGAAGTCACTGGTAGGGGCCCCTGATTACATACAACAGTGTCATTCACTAAACAGGCGGAGAAGGCAATGGTCAGGAAAAATGGTACATGTGAAACTAGGTTTCAGTTATATATTCAAAGGACGGTTAGTAGAGCTTTGTTATAGTGGTGTTTTCCCATATAATGGCATACATAAGTGAAGACATGATTATTTTACCTTTTCTTTAACCTTTATTTGTAGTTTTAAAACTACATCTAAAGCTACATCCCATTACCCTTTATATTTAATAGTTTAAAATATATATGTATATTCTCTGGAAAGAAGAATTTTTTAAAATTGAAAGTGCTTTCATAATCAACTCCAAACTTTAAAAAACCATAGGAAACAACACATATTTTAAAGTAGGTTAAAAATACTGTTCGGCTCCCTGGCAGAAATTGGCATATTTATTCAGTGGGTACATCATAGAGAAATCAATACAAAGGATATTTGTATGGTGGCTTAAAATAGCAACGTAATTAATAAAATTCTCAGGATCTAAAATGCAAAGTTTTCATCTTCATAACTTCCCCCCTGGCCAGTGGGAATTCTTCAGTTTTCCTAACAACTTACTTGGCAGGGAATGTATATATTATGAAGACCCCGACTACTGGTGCCCTCCCCCCCACCCCGTCCATTTTAGAACAAGTTGTTTCATTTAAAGAAGAAATGGCGTGGAGTTCCAGATCTCCAGTTTCTTGTGCTAAGGCCGGCCCTCAGCCGCACGGCCTCCCCACCCAGCATCGCAGGACCTGGTCCTGAACCAGCTTAGATCGTATTTGGGCAGACTTATCCGAGGATCTCTGAGAACCCTGTGAGCCCCCCTAAGGGGGCCCATGGGGAGCAGTGTGAGAGGTGCGGTCCCCAGATAACTAACCCCCTCACCGAAAGCCCCAGGCCCGAGTATGAAGGGGCAAAGCTGCTCAGCTCAACCCTTGTAGTTTACAAGAGTTCGGGGACCCCAAGAATAGCTCTGGCGCGGGGGAATTTCTGGGGGCTGTGACAGACTGAGGACTCTGCCCCAGATCCTCCAAGCCCCTCCCCTGGGTGCCCACCCCCTGCCCTTATGTTTCCTTCAAGCTCCTGGCACCACTTGGACCCCCAAGGCTAAGCTAAGCAAGCGCCCATGTTGTGGGAGGCCACAGACCACCCGTCTGACAAGAGAGTAAGGGTCAGGGCCTGGTTCAGCGCAGGCCACGCTTCAGTTTCTGATATGATAAAACTAAGAACGCACAAAGCTCCTCATTCCTCAGCACAGCACGTTGTTTGGCACGCAGCTCCTTACCCGCTCTGTGAAATAGGGGCCACAGCATCCCCGCTTCACAGATGAGAAAACAAAGGCTTGCAGGCTGAAAGGAGTAAGGGCTGCTGGACGCACAATGTGGGGTTTGGTCTTTTGTCCCCCAAACAAGTTCGTCTGCTGCTCCGTCCCTAACAGAGGCCAGATTCTTTTTCTACGTTCTGTTGCCATTCCCTCTGGAGGGAATGGAATCATTCAGCCAAGAGTCAGCCTTGTTTTAATCTGCAAACTCAGAAAGAGGCAGCTAGAGATTCGCATTTCCATCACTAATTACTTCTGCAGCTCCTTTCCAAACGCCCTCCCCCTCCTTCTTGCAACTCTTCGCCTGCAGGATCAGAGATTTGGAGAATTTATAGCCAGTGAGGACCCCCTGGGAGACCCCTACACTGAGGTGGCCTTTTTGCAGATGAGGAAGTGGAAATTTCAGAGGGGAAGTGACTTGCCCAAGGTTACAGGAGCCTCCGAAGGAGCCCTTGAGGTCGTTTGTCCCAACGCCACAATCAGTCTCGCCATAATATGGTCCCAAATGTGGAGCCGCTTCACGTGACGGCCTGTCCCTCATTGACACCTCCAGTTATTGGAAAGGTGACCTTGTATTGAGCCAGAATATGTCCCCCTTCGACTTCCACCCAAAGTACGTGGTGCCGTCCATCTAAATTAATCTTCGTTTGTGTGATCTCCTGAGGTTGCCATCTGTCCCTACCTGAAACTTGGTGGAAGGATTTTATTTTTACTCCTCTATCTATGCTGTATGGCGGAACACTCCAGGAGCCTCTTTAACGTGGTGTTTTTATGAAGCCTCTTTCCAGTGCATTGAGAGCGTGCCGTTGGTGGGTCCATCCAGATTCGTAGTGGACGAGGCACAGCGTTTCCAAAAATAAGAACTGGCGAGAGTCGCCAGTGCAGTGGTGTGAGATGGCAGGCACCCCAGCGGCAGGCGGTGTAGACAAGGGCCAGGTTCCCACATCCCGGGTGGACCCTCGGTGCACCAGAGCAGGCCTTTAACCAGAGTGCTGTATCCCCCACCCCACCCAACGTGCTGGGAGCAGGCAGGCAGTGTCGCGTGTGAATTGAGTATTGTGTAAGGTTTTGAGTGAGTGGGTGTATTTGTTAGGGGATGAGTGTGAGTCTGCGGGTGAGTGTGCAAATGTGCTGCGTGTGAGCGTGCGTGTGCCCGTGAGCGTGTGTGTGTGTGACGCCGTCAGTGAATGTGCGCATGAGTATATGGGCAGGGATGGTACAAAGACGGGTTAAAAATACTGTAGCAGTCAGGGCCCCAGCAGGAAACAGATGGCACATGCAAACTGGGTAATTTGAGGAGAGTTTAATAAAGGGACTGTTTCAAAGGTGTGGGCAGGGCGTAGGGAAACCACAAAGGATAGCACAGAGCCTGGGGCCCAGGTCTGAAGGGGCGAGGGCAGGAAGCAGTGACTGGCACCTGGGGCCACTGCCTTCAGGACAGGAGCTGTGACCCCTGCAGGCTCCGCCCAAAGCCAGAAGCCAAACCAGGGGCGGAGGAGACCCAGGGCAGGGGAAGGCAGGAGCTTGGATCAGGGGTGTCCTTCATTAACACAGGGAGGCCTCCAACCCTCGCCTGCCCCCGATGAACCCAGGGACCAAATGCCTCGTAAGATGCACATGTTCACAGACAGGCATTTTCTTTTTTAAAAAAGAAAAAAACCTTATTTGCACAAGTAAGATATAAATACACCCTCAGAGTAATACATCCAAGCGCTACGTGGACGCTCCCCTTTCCTCCTTCAGTTTGGCTCCCCTTACAGGAAGTTAATGTCCCGGCCAGTTCGGTGAGCTTCCCTCCAGTGCTTTCTCTCTGCATTTCTGTGTGCAGAAATTCCACGACTTTGAAGATCTCTAAAAGCCCATCACCAGCCCTCAGAAGAAGAGCCCCTAGAGTTCAGTTTGCAAAGCCTTTTCACACCTGTCTTGCCAGGATTCGCAGCTCACGCCCACACCCCACAGGAGATGCTTGCCCCAGATCACACGGCTTAACTAAGAGGTGCATCGGGGCCCACTGTTTGCCAAAAAAAAAAAAAAAAAAGCAACCGGAAGAGAGACACCCAGCAGCGATGGCCGGGAAGATGGGACAGAAGCAAACGGTGTGTCCAGCAGCATCTGATTCGTAGCTCTCCTCCGAGCGCTGCTGAGGCAGCTTTGCTACTAAAAGGCAAGGCGGTTTTGGATTTCCTCTCTTGGTGTCTGGGACATAAAACACTTGTTCAGCTGCGAGATGTTCCTCACGCGGTAGGTGTTTCTAGTGATCGCTTCGTGTTGGAAATGTACCCACGGCAGCTTTCACGAAGCTCGGGAATCTGGCACCTGCTCTGTTTCCACGCCGAAACGTGCGGATCAGCAAGATCTTAGGCCAATTGACAGAGAAGGAATCGAAAGTGTGCCCTTGGCTTTGATCATTCTCTCTGCAATCTGGGTTTTTCTCCTTCCAAAAGCCATGTGTTAAAAGCAGCCATTTCCATCATCTCCACAGAGACATTCGAAGGCCCCTTGGATGGGGGCGTATTTTCCTTGAATTCTCCATGATCCATTTTCTTCTTTGTTTAGGCTGAAATGGGAGAGAGGCCATTAGAGCTATCCTGAATTTTTACAGCCTTTTATAATTTTCATGTCTAGTCTATCCTCACAACAACCAACTCTATTGCAGAATATGATGGCTAAGCCTCCCTGAGCGCCTACCCAGTGAGGCAGGGACTTAGCAAGTGCTCTTTGTGGATTATCTCATCAACTCTGAAGGATTGTATAGCTGGAAACCGAATGCTCAGAGGCTTCATTATCTGCCCGAGGCCACACAGCAAATAGTGCTGGACCGGATTTCAAATTCTGACAGCCTCCAGAGCCTATGCCGGTAACCACAAGCATCCTGATAGGACCGTATGGTTACCCCCATCTTACAGATGAGGAAACTGAGGCCACAAAGATTACTCCCAGAAACAGACAGCTAGCGACCTGGCT